GGCTGTTTCCCCACCCAACCCTGTCATGCTGCTTTTCAAATGAACTAGAAGATAAAGGTTTTTTGTTTTGTTTTGATTTTAGAATTTATTTATTTGGGCTGGTGCTGCACTCACTAGGCGAATCATCCGCCTGCAGTGCCGGCACACCGAGTTCTAGTCCCGGTTGGGGCACCGGATTCTGTCCCGGTCGCTCCTCTTCCAGTCCAGCTCTTCTGTGGCCCCGGGAAGGCAGTGGAGGATGGCCCAGGTCCTTGGGCCCTGCACCCACATGGGAGACCAGGAGGAAGCACCTGGCTCCTGGCTTCGGATCAGCGCAGTGCGCCAGCCGCAACGCACCAGCCGTAGCGGCCACTTGGGGGGTGAACCAACGGAAAAAGGAAGACCTTTCTCTCTCTCACTAACTCTGTCAAAAAAAAAAAAAAAAAAAAAAAGTGCTGATAAGGATTCTATTTATTTATTTGAAAGGCAGTTTATAGAGAAAGAGAAATCTTTCATCTGCTGGTTCATTCCCCAAATGGCCACAACTGTGGGAACTGGGCCAGTCAGGAGCCTGGAGCTGCATCTGGGTCTCCCACGTGGGTGCAGGTGCCCAAGCACCTGGGCCGCTGGGTTCCCAGACGCATTAGCAGAGAACTGGATAGAAAGCTGAGCAGCCGAGACTCCCAGCGGATGCCCAGATGGGATGCCACAGTGCCAGTCCCAGAATGAGTCTATTTAGAAACCAGAAACGTGTACACACACATCTCCAGAAGGGAGGGGCTCTTCTGCATACTCAGGCAGAGTGAACACAGGCGCCGGGGAGGTTCACGCCAGGACGGGCTCTGTGCCGCAACGCACCGCGCAGGAACACCATGAGGTGCAACACAGCTGAGCAAGCGCGCCCTCGCAGGGTGCCCGTGGTGAACACACACCCTTGGAGGGGTTCACACGGGCACACTCCTCGAAGCCACAGCCGCACGCCTAGGGGGCGCTCGCAGGGCGCCCACGCACACGCACGCACGCACACACACACACACACACACCCACCCCTGCCCGGCCTCCTGCTTGCCTACCTCCGCCTTCGGAAGGCCGAGGCACGCCTGACTCTTCTCAGGCCCTTGCGGGCCGATCGGCAGCCGTCGGGCGACGACCCAGAACGGCGCGGGGCTGGGGCGGGAGCCAGGAAGCGCGGCGGACATGGAGGCGCTACTGCTGGGCGCCGGCTTGCTGCTGGGCGCCTACGTGCTCATCTATTACAACCTGGTGAAGGCCCCACCGTGCGGCGGCATCGGCAGCCTGCGGGGCCGCACCGCCGTGGTGACGGGTGAGTGCGGGCGGAGGGCTGCGGGCCGGTTGGGGTGGCGGGGGCAGCGGCCCGCCCGGCTCAGCTCGGCTCCTGCCCGCCATCCACAGGCGCCAACAGCGGCATCGGGAAGATGACAGCGCTGGAGCTGGCGCGCCGCGGAGCGCGCGTGGTGCTGGCCTGCCGCAGCCGGGAGCGCGGGGAGGCGGCCGCCTTCGACCTGCGCCAGGTGAGGGGAGGCCGCGGCTGGGGGACCGCGGGCCGAGGCCACGTCGGGACACCTGGGGCAAAGCGGCTGCGGGAACCTGATTCCTGAGACGCGAGTGGGCCCGGCTTGGGTTCTTTAAACCCAAAGGAAGGGGTGCGGAGTGCCACACGAGGAAGGGGCACCAAGGCCAAGCTGAGGAGGGGGCCTTCTGCAGGAAATGACTGCAGGTCTAGTGTTGAAGGCTCAGCAAGAGTTGGGCGAATGAAAAGAGGAGGGAACAGCGTATGCAGGGGCCCAGAGGCAACACAGCTGGTCTGATGGGAGAAGCTGGGGGTTGGGAGGCTTAATGAGTCTGGAGCAGGAAGTATGAGGAAAAGAGGCAGAATGAGGGGACTGGAAGCGTTTGGGCTTCAAAGTCGGGCAGCCAGACCAGTGAGAGGTCCCTGGCACGTGGGGACTCTGCGAATGGCCTCTTGGAATGAACCCCTTGGTAGCTGTGTGGTGCCTGGACTGGAGGGACAGGAGTGGGTGAGAGGAGACCAGGGAGAACCTGCTGTAGGTTCAGGGTGAGTGACAACGCGGGGAGGGGATAATAACAATAGAGGTGCTTCCACAGTACAGAATGTACCTTACACAGATCAGCTTTTTTAATCCCCTCTACTCTGAAATGCTATTATTATTATTATTCCCATTTTACAGTGAGAGAACTGAGGCCCAGAGGGATTACATTTCTTGCCCCAGGTCCCAATCTAGGAGGCAAAGGCGGGAGCTAAGTCCACACACTTTTCCTCTCCAACCATGCATAGGGGCGGGGCGGATCTGAGTAGCATTCGGTGCCTGGGAAGAGGGAAGAGGAGGGAATTGCCTGGTGACAATCCCAGCCCTTGCTGCTCCACAGGAGAGTGGGAACAACGAGGTCATCTTCATGGCCTTGGACCTGGCCAGCCTGGCCTCAGTGCGGGCCTTTGCCACTGCCTTCCTGAGCTCCGAGCCACGGTTGGACATCCTCATCCACAATGCCGGTGAGGGGCAGCCGTCCCTGCGGGGCGCGGGGGGCGGCCAAGGGCACCTGCCTCCTCTCGCCAGTCCTCTCCGGGGACGAGCGGACACGTGGGAAGGATGCCCCTATTCCCATCTCACAGATGGGGATGCTGAGGTCCCAGGGCTCCTTCCGGAGCAGCTAACGCCGGGCCTCCCTCGCAGGGATCAGCTCCTGTGGCCGGACTCGAGAAGCCTTCAACCTGCTGCTTCGGGTGAACCACATCGGCCCCTTCCTGCTGACACACTTGCTGCTGCCTCTTCTGAAGAAATGCTCCCCCAGCCGTGTGGTGGTGGTGTCCTCCGCTGCCCACCGCCGTGGGCGCCTCGACTTCACACGCCTGGACCGCCCAGTGGTGGGCTGGCGGCAGGAGCTGCGGGCCTATGCCGACAGTAAGCTGGCTAATGTACTGTTTGCCCGGGAGCTCGCCACCCAGCTTGAGGGCACTGGTGTCACCTGCTATGCGGCTCACCCAGGTGAGGCCTGGCCGTTTGGCTGTTCCTGACTCCCCCTCTCCCAGCCTTGCTCCTTCCTGTGCTCCCAGAGCACGAAAGGCCACGTGCAGGGAGAGAGCTGTGCCTTGATGGTCTTGGGATCAGGCTCCCTTTGTCTGGGTTCTTCCGCTCACACCACAGCTTGGCTCTAGAACATGGGTGGCTTCTGGCAAGATTACGACCCGGGTTCTAACCTTGAGGGACCCTCTATGCTGACCGAACTAGAATATGATGACGAGGACGACGATGATAATAGCTATCTATGGTAATGATCCATTCACTCATTTACTGAGCACCTGCTATGTCTCAGGCATTATCCACAGTGCTGGGGGTAGAGCAGTGAACAAAACAAAGACCCTGCCCTCATGGAGTTTGCATTCCAGTTTGGGGTGGGGGTTAGAGACTGCCGCTTTGTATGTAATAAAATGACAGGTGCTAGGGCCGGTGCTGCGGCTCACTTGGCTAATCCTCCACCTGTGGTGCCAGCACACTGGGTTCTAGTCCCGGTTGGGGTGCCGGATTCTGTCCCGGCTGCTCCTCTTCCAGTCCAGCTCTCAGATGTAGCCCGGGAAGACAGTGGAGGATGGCCCAAGTCCTGGAGCCCTGCACCCACATGGGAGACCAGGAAGAAGCACCTGGCTTCTGGCTTTGGATCGGCGCAGCACGCCAGCCGTAGCAGCCATTTTGGGGGTGAACCAACAGAAAAAGGAAGACCTTTCTCTCTGTCTCTCTCTCTCTAACTCTGCCTGTCCAAAAAAAAAAAAAAAAAAAAAAAAAAGGTGCTGATAAAGTACTGTTGGGTAAGATAAAACAGGGTAAGAGGAATAAGAAACGCAGGTAGTGCTGTTTCAGCGCTGGCAGTTGAGGAAGACATAGTAGAAAATGTGACATTTGAACCGATGCCTGAAGGACAGGAGGAGTGAGCCATGCATCTTTCTGGCGAGAAGCCCAAATAGAGAACAAATTGTAAGAGGAAAGGCCCTGGGGCAGAAGTTCCAGGTGTGCTTAGGGGAGGCTTGTGTGGCTGGGGAGAGAAGGGAGAGTAGCAAGAGATGGTGTTGCCGGGATGGACTGGTCATGTGGGGTCTGGTCTGGAGGCCCACTGCAAGCAAGCACTGTGGCTTTTACTCTTGGTGAATAGACTCATCTTTGCCTTTAGGAGATACATTACACCAGGATAAGAGCTGCCCTATCCACAGTGGCATCCTGCATTTTAGGAAGTCACTGCCTAAGGCTCATTAGTAATAATAACCAGGACAATAACAACAATGACATTAGGCCTTAATACAGCTCCACATCCCTAATGTTCAAAACAGTGGCTGGTACACCACAGGTGCGTAATAAATGCTGCCTAAACAAAGGAACAGGGCTCAAGCTAAAAGAAAAGATGGAAAGAGACAGAGTTGTTTCAGGCGCAACCTGGGGGATTCGGCTGTACCAGCAGCTTTGCCGGCGGGAGGGGGTTTCCCATAGGAAATGAGTGGTTGCCTTGTGGAGGCCCTGAGTGCCCGGGAGACACCACCCTGAACAGGATTCTGTCCCCACTCCCCTTCAAGCTTGCTTCCACTGTACCCAGTGCCCTCAGTCCTCACCCTCCCCAACTCCTTTCTTTCTTCCTGCCCACAGGACCTGTGAACTCAGACCTGTTCCTGCGCCACCTTCCTGGATGGCTGCGCCCACTTGTGCGTCCCCTGGCTTGGCTGGTGCTCCGAGCACCAAAAGGGGGTGCTCAGACACCCCTGTACTGTGCTCTGCAGGAGGGCATCGAACCCCTGAGTGGGAGATACTTTGCCAACTGCCGTGTGGAGGAGGTCCCCCCGGCGGCCCGAGATGACCGGGCAGCCCACCGGCTGTGGGAGGCCAGCAAGAGGCTGGCAGGGCTTGGGTCTGGGGACGAGGATGACGACGAACCTCACGAAGACCCCCAGCCTGAGGAGCCCACCGTTTCCGAACCCTCCCCCAGCCCTCAGAGCTCACCAGACTGGTCTAAGGTGACACGGCGAATTCAGGTTAAAGCTGGGCCTCAGTCCCCGGTCTCCTAACCTCCAGGCTGGGATGCTTTTTCCATGGCCCTTGGTGGCCCTTGCACACCTCCTGCTGTGAGCCACCACGGACCCTGGGGCACTGTTTGCCGCCATGGTTACTTCCTGGGGCCTCCGGGTGTGTTCTTTCCCTGGTGGAAGGAAGTAAAGGGTGATATTTCTTCCTGAGAGGGACCGTCCCCCCAGATTGAGCGGGGGCGGGGCGGGGGGGTGGGGGGACATGTCAGACCCTGTTTCTCAGGAATCTGAATTGCAGCTTGCAAGGCCCCACCCTCTGAGATTGTGCTCAGCGCTGGAGCAGGGCCAGGGACTCTGCGACGGGAGGCACTGCCGACACTGGGAGTGACGGAGCCCTCTGCAGCCATCCAGCCAGGCGGCTCAACCACCCCCACTTCACCGAGGCGGGATTGGGCTCTAGAGGGAAGGACTCGCCCCAGGTCTCACAGCTGCTGAGTGCAGGCGCCGGGCTTTGGACCCGGGGCTCCGACGCCAGGGCCGCTTGCCCGCAGGGCGGTTGTTCCCGAGGCGCCTGTGGGAGTGGGGGCGACCCCGCGCGGCTCCCGAGCCCCGAGCAATAAAGCGTGTCGGCCGCGGCGCTCGCGCGCGTCCCTGCCTCTCTCGCCCGGCCGGCCCCGCCCTCCGCCGCCACACTTCCGGCGGGGCTGCGACCACGGAGGGGCGCGGGCGGGCGGCGCTGGGGGTGGCGGCGTAGGCTGGGCGCGGCCGGCGCTGCGGACCGGGTGCTGCCGTCCGCGTCTGTGCGGGCCCAGGGCCCTCCGACCCGCCGGCGCCATGGGCAACTGCCACACAGTGGGGCCCAACGAGGCGCTGGTGGTCTCAGGTGAGGGGCGGCGGGGTCCGTGGGGAGGGGACGGGAAGGGTTGGGCCCTCAGAGGGCGGGGGCCCGCCGGCTGGGCTCGAGCCTGTGGCGCTGCGCAGGGCGCCGGCACCTGAGACCCTTCCAGAAGGGAGCCTCCCCCATTTTCCTCGGAGGCTCGCCGGCGGCTCTCCCTGCCGCTGCGTGTTTTTTGTTGTTTTTTTTTTTTTTTTCCTCCGCTCCTCTCTCCGCCTCCTCCCCGTCTCGTCCTCCCTACCGCCACACCGTGGGCTTGGGAGTCCCCTGGGAGCCGTGGGGGTCGGGGAGGAGGCTAAGCAGTGGTGCCCGGAACGGGTTAGTTTGGCTAAATTCCAACGCCGGGGGCTGGGACTGGGGCTGGGTCGCGCAGCTCCGATGGGCAGGTGCCTGTGTGGGGAGACGTCTGAGACGTGGGCCGTTTTCTCTGGGTACTGTCAGACCCGTTAATTCTGAGCAAGCTGGGGCTTGCCGGGCTTCCATTCCGCCCTGGAGACGCGGGTGGGGCCTCTACAGGTTGGGAAACCCGGCCCTGCGCTCTGCCGCTCCGATTGCAAAACGCTGCAAGCTCTAGAATTTGTGTCTTGGCGGCGCTTGGAGCCTGTGTTGGGGTGAGGCGGCGAGGGTGTTTCTCGCCCCAAGCCCCGCTGTTAGATTGTGTATTTGGGATGTCTTGGGAGGTGGCTGAATCCTTTCCAGCTGCCAGATTGTGCAGCTCCTGGGTTCTGGGGCAAAGGGCTGTGTTGCCAAGTGCTTGGAAGCCTGCAGCTGTAGGAATTCCTCATGGATTAGGAGGAATACCCACTCTGCTGATTACAGCTGTGTACAGCTGGTTAGGGCTGGCTACTGAAGCAGGTAGAAGGGATTAAGATCCCTGAGCCAGGCCTTACAACTGTATACCCTTGGAGAGATGTGATAAGTCCATTGGGAGCTTTTGCCCCAAAACTTGGCCTCAGACTCAACTTGGATTAAAAATTCCATCTCTGGGGGCCAGTGCTGTGGCACAACAGGCTATCCCATTTCGCAGTGGGCATTCCTAGTCCCAGCTGCTGTGCTTCTGATCCAGCTCCCTGCTAATGGCCTGGGAAAGCAGTGGAAGATGGCCCAAGTACTTGGACCCCTGCCACCTGTGTGGAAGACCCAGGTGAAGATCCAGGCTCCTGGCTTTGGCCTGGCCCAGCCTTAGCTCTTGCAGGCATTCAGGGAATGAGCCAGTGGATGGAAGATTCTCTCTCTCTCCCCCTTTTTTGCTTTTCAAATAAATAAATCTTCAGAAAAAGAAATTAAGTCTTTCTACTGGATGATCCCCTCCAACCCTGACCAGCACCATTCCCTGTGAGGGAAACAGGAGACCCTACCCCCTGGGGACCAAGACCAACTGCCTTGGGGTCAGGAGGGAGGGTCCCAGAAAACACTGAGGCTGTTTCCCAGCCCTCAGCCCCAAGAGAAAGCTTTTACAACCTGAATCTAGGAGCCGGTGCTTGGCATCCCGTGTAGGTGCTGGTTCAAGTCCCAGCTGGTTCACTTCCAATCCAGCTCTGCTATGGGAAAAGCAGCAAAAGATGGCTCAAGTCCTTGGATCCTTGTACCCATGTGGGAGACCTGGAAGAAGGTTCTAGCTCCTGGCTCCTGTGTTCGGATCGGCACGGCTCTGGCTGCTGCGGCCATCTGTGGAGTAAACCAGAGGATGGAGGACCTCTCTGTAACTGTCTTTCAAATAAATAAATACATCTTTTTTAAAAAATGAATCTGCCCAATACTTTTGCCTTTTAAATATTTTAAAAATTTATTTAATGTATTTGAAAGGCAGAGAGACAGAGATCTTCTGTTGATTCACTCCACAAGTGATCACAAAAGCTGGGGCCATGGGAGGCCCAAGCCAGCAGTTGGGAACTCAGTCCAGATCTCCTGCATGGGTGGCAGGAACCTAAGTACTTGAGCTGCCTCACTGCTGCTTCCCAGGGCAGAAGGCTGGGGTCCGAGCTCAGAGTTAGGCACGCCGATTAGGGGCTGCAGCAGCCCGGGACTGCAGTATGGTAACCACTGTGCCAGCTTCCTGCCACAGTGCTTTGTTTTCCTTGCAGAGTTTTCTTTCAGGAAGTCCAGACTCTGGACAGGGGACACGAAAGCTCCAGTTCTCACTCTGTGGAAGGTCTGGAGACTATAGGGGAAGAGGAGCCTCTGAGATGGGCCGCTCCGTGTTTTCGGGTTACTGGGAACCTTTTGCTTGAGCCAAGGTCAATGAAATGCTATAGAGAGTCTTCAGAAAGTTTGTAGAAAATACATAGTATGGAAAAACTAGGCATAGTTTTCAAAAACTTGTTGCAGTATCCACATTGTTCCAAAGCTATTGTAGAGGTGAGCAGAGGGGACTAAAAAGGGTGGGAGGAGAGAGCGAGCGGTTGTGCCTTGGGGTTTGCACCATCAAGGTGAGATGCGGTTCTGTGCTGAACAAGGACTCTCAGGACCGCAGAGCGGCTGCGCCCAGCCCAGCACCCTCCTTGCTCCTTGGCCCAGCCTCGGAAGACGCTGATACATCGCAGGGCCATTGTCTCTGTCCTCTCTTACTACCTTCATTCTTTACAATAAAACTTTCCTTTCTATTTTCAAAAATTTACAGCGGGACCCTTTCTCACTTGGGTTTTTATCTTTGCTAGCTGTCACTAAGATTTAGTGTTTTCACTAAAACTCTGCCTGTCAAAAAAAAAAAAAATTAGTGTTTCCTTTAAGTGTTGACAGTAATCTGAGATAGCGTTAGCAGACTTTTTCCTCACACTCTGCACTTGTTACAGGTACCTGGAAAATCATTATGCTCATTGCTAGTTTGAAATTAAGCTAGTAATTAGATCTATAGCTACATCTTATTTGTGTATATTACTATAGAATACCTTTGGTTGTTTTTAACATTTTGATAACTTTTTTTTTTTTTTTGATAGAGTGGACAGTGAGAGAGAGAGACAGAGAGAAAGGTCTTCCTTTGCCATTGGTTCACCCTCCAATGGCCGCCGCGGAGGCGCGCTGCGCTGATCCGATGGCAGGAGCCAGGTACTTATCCTGGTCTCCCATGGGGTGCAGGGCCCATGTACTTGGGCCATCCTCCACTGCACTCCCGGGCCACAGCAGAGAGGTGGCCTGGAAGAGGGGCAACCGGGACAGAATCTGGCGCCCCGACTGGGACTAGAACCCGGTGTGCCGGCACTGCAAGGCGGAGGATTAGCCTAGTGAGCCGCGGCACCAGCCCGTTTTGATAACTTTTAATATCTGTTTCCTTCATTTTTAAAGTAGCTGTTCATTACTTTATTTGAAAGGCAGAGACAGAGATCTTCCATCCACTGGTTCACTTCCCAAATGCCTGCAACAGTCAAGGCTGGGCCAGGCTGAAGCCTGGAACCCACAACTCAAGTCTGGGTCTCTGACGTGAGTGGCAGGGCCCAAGTACATGAGCCATCATCCTCTGCCTTCCAGGATTCACCTTAGCAGAAAGCTGATTGGAAGCAGAATAGCCTGGACTTGAAACCAGGCTCTTCAGTATGGGATACAGGCATCCCAAGAGGCAACTTAGCCACTATATCAAATGTCTGCCCTGTTTTGTTTTGCTTTTAAGATTTATTTATTTGAAAGAGAAAAATTGATCTTCCAGCTACTGTTGGACTCCCCCAAATACCCATAGCTTCCAGGGCTGGGTCAGGTGAAAGCCAGGAGCCAGGAAACTCCATCCTGGTCTCCAACACACTGGAGGGGGCCCACGTACTTGAGCCATCTTCCACTGACTTCCCAAGTCCATTATCAGGAAGCTGGATTGGAAGCAGAGTAGGCAGGACTGGAACTGATACTCTGATATGGGATGCCATTGTCACAAGTGGCAGCTTGACCATTGGTGCCACAACACCAGCCCCTCTTGTGTGTTTTTGTCTGTTTTTATGTTGAGAGGAAGAAAGAAAGGGCTTGTTCCTACACACTGGTTCACTCCCCCAAATGCCCATAGACCTGGGCTGAGCTCGCTAAAGCTGGGAGCTGGGAACTCCGCCTCACTGTCCCATGTGAAATGCAGACACCCAATTACTTGAACTGTCACCATTGTCTTAAATGAACACATACATCTTTAAAAAAAAAAAAAAAAGTAAAGAAGAAACCCAGGCATTCTGTTGTGGGACTCTGGCACCTTAACTGCTGGGTTAAATGCCTGCCCTCTTAGGGATTTTATTTCCTGCATCTATAAACCTTCTGAGAAGGGATCCTCAGGCATTGCCAGACCACTAGAGGGGTTTTGGCTGAAAAAACTAAACACCCCCTGCAGAATGTGATCTTAAGTGATAGGAAGATGATGATGGAGGGGAGGCAGCAAGAGGAGGGTGCGCCTGAGAGGGCAGAGTACCTAAGAAGGCCGAGTTGGGGGAGGAGGGAAGTTGTGTCTGGGGAGGGGCTGAGTGGAGCAGAAGTTATGCGGGTGGGTTATTTGCTGGTTCTTCAGCTTGATTGAGGACAGAACAAGGAAAGCAAGTTGGGTTGGAAAAAACGAGATGAAAGTAGGAGAAACTTCTAGGTTTCCAGCTGAGTGAGAGCTGGGGAAGTCACAGAAGAGGAGGCACCTAACTGTCCTCTTGGGATAGTGAGCAAGTAGCTGGGAAGAAGGTGCCTTCTGGGGGAGGTGGGGCAGTCCACCAGTCCCCGCTTCCTGTTGTTGCCGCCTCTGGGAACCTGGCCATGTTGCGCTTGGCCAAGGCCCAGCTTGAGCTGTGGCAGCCTGCTCCCAAGGTCAAAGATATATTAAAGGTAAAGGGTAGATACCTATGCTGTCCTGCCATCCCTCCCTCCCTCACTCACTGCCATCTCCCACAGCTCATTGAGAGGTCCCCTGGAGCTGGCTGGAGGCAGCTGTGCCCCAGCCCCCACCAGGCCTGAAGAAGTGGAATAAGCTGAGATTTTTGGCCCTCTTCCTATTTCACTTGATGGTTTGGGTTTCAGATTGCTGATTCAGATTCACCAGAGACTTTCCCTACTCTACCTACCAGGCCAGAGAAGCCCATAAATGGCTTTCGCTGGACAGATGGTTCTACCCCAGAAAAACAGACACCTGAGTGGGTCACTGTGTGTGGGTGGCACTGCTCTTAGAGCCCTGTACCTCTAGCTCTTACTACAGGTTTAGTGTACCTTATCCAAAATGCTTTGGACCAGAAGTGTTTGAGATGTCTGATTTTATTGCATTTGGTGATATTTGCATATATATAATGAGTGAATTTGGGGATGGGACCCAAGTCTAAACACAGAATAGCTTTTGTGTTTCTTAAATACCTTGCCTAAATGTAATTTTGCACATTTTTGGTATGATTGTGTTCTGTGACCCATCAGTCTCAGATGCTGGCCCTCCTCACTCAAAAGGGAGGTGGGAGGCAAAGGATCGACCCATCCAAAACTTGTCCCCACTTTTTTGAAGATTTATTTATGTATTTGAAAGGCAGAATGAGAGAGACAGAGAGAGATCTTCTGTCTGCTAGTTCACTCCCCAAATGGCCATAACAGGCTGGGGCTGGGCCAGGCCTGGAACTTCATCCTGGTCTCCCACATGGGTGGCAGGGGACCAAGTACTGGGGCTATTTTCTACTGCCTTTGCAGGCACGTTATCAGGAAGCCAGGTCTGAAGCAGAGCAGCTGGGACTCAAACCAGCACTCCAGTATATAATGCCAGTATCACATGTGGCAACTTAACCCGCTGTGTCATAACACCAGTCCCAAACTTGCCCCACTTTGTTCTTCTCTCCATTGTCTCCGTTATGGTTTTGACCATACCACCCACCCAAACCCAGACTTTAGGGCTGCACTGTCCGATGTGGTACACTACTAGCCACATATGACTATTTAAGTTTAAATTCAATTAAAAATTTAGTTCCTCAGACATACCCAGCCACATTTAAAGTGCGCAAGAGCCACATGTGGCTAGTAGCTGCCGTATTACACAGTGTAGGTCTGGAACATTTCTACCTGCACAGAAAGAAGCTCTCTTGGATTACTGCAGGAGGCTTCTACCCATTCTCTCTGACCCCAGTCTCTTCCTCCTAGTGCAGAGTGGTACCTCTTTCTAAAATACACTTGTCACCTGGTCCCTCCCCAGCTTAAATCCATGTGGCTCCCTAGCATTCACGTACACCCTGTGATCTCCCTCTGTCCCTCTACCTGCCTCTTCCCATGTCATGGGTCCTCAGAGAAGTTGCAGCACAGCTATAGGAACCTGCCTCAGAGACTTGTTCTTGGGAGGCAGACACTGTGAGGCTTCCATGAAAACCCAAGTTCATGAACATGGAAACGATAGTGTCTTCTGGCTTTTGCCAAAATCCCATTTCTTTCAAATAGTCTGTTTCCTATACATTTCTTTGTTCTGCAAGTTAACTGCCTCTCTAATTTTTGCTACAGTTTCTTTAACTTGATGACTAATTTTGGCTTTAACAGGAGAATTCACTACAGGAGTTTTAGCAGGTTGGTTTTTTTTTTTTTTCCCCATTCTGTACAGAGGGCACCGTGGATCCATGGCATGGATCAGGGTCTTGGCTGTGTGACATATTCTGTTGGGCTGATGCAGTTTCCAGGAACCACTTCCTTTTGAGGCCTTTTCCCTTTCTCTTTCGTTTTCCCTGTGTTTTGAGGCCCTGCCTTCTCCACCCACTCCCAAAGGGGAACAAAGTCACTCTGAATGCCTGGGGAGTAGAAAACTAGCTCGCTGGAAGCATCTGCCAGGCAGAACGAGGTGCCTGCCTTGGCTCTGAGACTCCTCCTTGCCCTGCTGTGCACTGATAGCAGGTGAACCAGCTGGTGTTACAGTAATTATATCAGGAAGCAGTTCCTCCTCCTCATCTCCCCGACTTCAGGATGTGAATTGTATGTTCAGCTCTGTATCTGTGACACGAAAGAACCCTCTGCTGTTTGTTGAATAGATGAGTGACTGGTTGAGGGGGAAATGGACACTTTCCCAGGCCACCCCCACCCACCAACCTATTCTTTCTCTGGAAGCTCTTAAGTTTGGAACTCTTCATTGGATATCCTTTTGAGGCAAATTGCCCATCTACCAGAGTAGGTTCTAAGTCCTACAAGTGCAGTGAGAACTTGTCTGTCTCCCTTTCATGTGTCACTCAGCACCTAGGGAGTTGTCAAGTCTCAGAGTAGGTAAAGCCACCATCAGGGGTCTGGGGAGGGGACAGACCCAAGAACTCACCAGTAGTGGTTTGCTTTGCTCCCCAGGGGGCTGTTGTGGTTCCGACTATAAACAGTACGTCTACGGCGGCTGGGCCTGGGCCTGGTGGTGTATCTCCGACACTCAGAGGTAAGGGCCTGGGGTCCCCAAAGCCTGTCATCCCAGTGGGCAAGGAAGAGAAGGGTTTCCATCATCCTGCCTTACCCCACAGGTCAGCCAGGAGCACCTGCCATTGACCACTTGCAGTTCTGGGGAATAGGAGCCTCCTAAGCAGAAGGTGAAACGGCTGGCTCGGGTATGTGGAAGGTGCAGTCAGCAAGGTCTGGACTTGCCCTTCCTGGGTGCCCTTTTTTCCACTATAGGTGATACCGTTTCTGTCTCAGACAGCCCAGGGTCCTACTCAGGCAGCATCGTCATTGCCCAATTCTAGCTGAAAGTTACTAAAGAAGTCTTAGTTATGTATTCTTCTGGAGTGGGTGTTTGCCAGGAGGAAAGACTGAGGACACCCAGTACACAAACCTTGGCCTGTGCAGGCCCTGGGACAACCCGGGCAGGGGCCAAATGGCAGAGAATGGACATGGTGTCAGCTTCCATTCCTGCAGGTGCCATGTCCTTGAATTCAACCCAGGGTGGAAAATACTGGGGATAACTGCAGCTGTACTGAACTTGTACAGCCTTTTTCCTTGACATTATCCCCTCACGTACAATATAGTGATCTCCATAAAGTTTCTGACACTGTGTTAGGTATCAGAAATGATCTACAGGTGATTTACAGTATGCTGATGGTGATATGCATAGGCTGTATGCAAATACTGCACTGTTTTTTATGAGGGACTTGAGCAGTAAGGGCTTTTGCTATCAGTGAAGGTCCTGGAACCAGTCCTCTGGAGCCTGAGGGACACCTCACAGTCAGAAGTGGCTACTGTAACACCGAACAGTGGCTGGATTAGAGACAAGGGGTAGGGAACTGGTGAATTGGTGCTGGAGTCAGGCCAGACAGCTCTGGACCTCCTAAGTCAGCCTAGGAAGACTTAACTGAGGAAGGGAGATTTCAGTTTCCCAGAGAGCCCACCAGCCAGCCCCACCTGCTGGTGCCTCCAGAGCTCAGGCCAGCTGGCTTTCCATCGTTACCCACTTCCTGGTTATGGGAGATGGGTGTGGGGCAGGTTCTTCTGGAGCTGTGAAGATATGGGTATGTTGTAAAGGGGTCAGTTATCCAAAAGGGGAAGCCATAGAGATTCTGGTGGAAGTCCCCCCCTCCAAGCCCTGCCAGTCAGCAGAGGGAGGCCCCTGGGAGTCTGAGGGTATCTGTGGGTGGCGGATGGGAAGCATGTCACAGCTCTGTCACTTCCCCGGTTTCCAATCACCCCCTCCACTCCCACCTCTCCTCTCCTCTCCTCTCCACCCTGCTGGAGACTCTTCTCATCCAAGGTAAAGAGTGTCGGGCAGAGTCCTCAGTAGTGGTCATGGCTTCCACTTGAGAGGATCCCAGGCACTCTGGAGTAGGCCACTCAGCCTGGCAGAGGTCATGCCACCACCCCACACACCATGCAGTCCTGGCACAACAGAGCACCTTGTTCAGAGGGGTTGTGACTTACCCAGAGGCCTGTCACGCTGGGCATACACTGCCAGGGACGCACCCCTGCAGCCTTTCTCCCACATTCTTGGCCTCCTGCTCCCCCTTCTTGCCCAAAGGAACAGAGCTCCAGGAACAGGAGGGTCAAGCCTCCCTGATGGCAAGAGTAGGGGTGAGAAGTGGGGGGCAGCCTTGTACCTCACCCTAGGAAACTGTTCATAGCTAGGCCCAGCCATCGCCCTCTGGTCCCATTTGCTGGGTAGTCAGAGCCTGCAGCCCTAAGCCCTCTTCACTTTTTGGGGGGAAGCCCCTCCCCCAACCCCAGCATACTTAGGGGACTCTGTATAGACTGGAGCCTCTCAGGTCAGAGGAGAAGCTGAAGACTCAGCCTCCCTTTCAAGGCACTTTCTACAGCCATCCTTGGTTTGCCACCTACCCCTCCATGTCAACCAGTCTTCCTCCAGCCTCAGTGAACTCCAGCCTGCTGCGCTTGGCCTCCACCTCCTGTGCTTCTCCATGGGCCTGATGTGAGCCTCCTCCCTTACCTGAGCAATTCTACCTCTGGCGTCTGAGCTGCAGCCTCCGTCACCCTCCTGCCTTCCTCCCCCTGCCTTTCCTTCCTGCCTCCTTCCCCAGAAGAGAGCTTGGTGGTTCCTGACTGCTGGGTCGAGAGTCCTCTCAGGCCCAAGGATGCTAGTGTTTGGGGCCCAAACTAGGCAACCTTTGCATGTCTGCTTGGCTGGACCCACAGGGCTTGTGCTGTGAGAGCAGCCCTCGCAGAGTTGAGCTGGGGGCTCCACGTTGCCTCCTCCTCCCCATCCCCGCATTCATCTGTTCCTGCTCCTTCAGCCTCAGCCTCTTTCTTGTCTTCCCTTCATTCTTCTGCCTAAGGAGACATTCCACTCTGTCGACAGCCTGGCCTCTGCCTAGCCCACCCCCTGCACATGCTCGCACACACAGCTAGGGCAGGCTGGGTCACTCCCGGCCGCCTTGTTTTCTTTGCCAATACTCTTTCTCTGCCCCTGCCCAACTTCAGAAATCCCAAAACAGATTACTCTTTCATCTCCAGTTGTCCCCGTGAATATTCTGGCAGGAGTGCTCTCTCTCCCCCAGCCTTATTTGAGCCCCCCAGTCCCAAATCAGAAAATCTAAAGATTTCTTTGAGCTTTTCTGGCCTTAAATTGCCACCCTCTGTGTCATATGTAATACAAACCCTGAGTTTTTCTCTCTTTTTTTTAAGATCTGTTTGTTTATTTGAAAGGCAGGGTGACAGGGAGGGAGAGGGAGAGAGAGAGATCTTCCATCCACTGGTTTACTCCCTGAATGCCCACAACAGCCAGGCTGGATCAGGCCAAAGTCAGGAGGCAAGAACGCCCTCTGGGTCTCTCATGTGTTTGGCAGGGACCCAAATACTGGAGCCATTCTCTGCACATCAGCAGAAGGCTGGATCAGCAGCAGAATAGCAGGGATTCGGCCAGGCGATCTGGTATCAGATGCCGGCCTCCCAGGTGGTGGCTTAACATGCCATGCTATATGCCTGCCCCAGCTCTGAGGTTTTTGTATTGCAAAGACAGTTTTTGTGCAATGAGCAGGATTCAGTATTTCCTGTGGCTTATTAATCCCTAGGCTGGCCTCCCTCTCCTAGTTTCTGGAAATGCAGACTAGCCTGTGTTGAGAGGTAGAGGTTAGGCTATGTCTTCCAGATTCTGAGAGGAGTCTCATGGGAAAGGGAGGAGGTAGACAACACAGGTGCCCTGCACTCAAACCTCCTTCTCCAGGCCCCTCCTCCAGCCCAGCAGCTCCCTGGTGGAAGGGTGTAGGCCTTTGCTGAGCTGGCAGTGGGGGGTTGAAGTACTGAGAGCACCCCCAACCCCACCCCCAGGCATCAGGCATTGGTGCTTGTCTGGTAACCACTGTGTGTGTTTGCTGTGTCCCCTCCTACCCCTACCTGTCCCTACCTCTCCCTACCCCTGGCTGCTCCTCAGACTGTCTCTGGAGGTTATGACCATCCTGTGTCGCTGTGAGAATATTGAGACGTCGGAGGGGGTCCCGCTATTCGTAACAGGGGTTGCACAGGTAATAACCCACCTGCTTCCTCCTCTGTTTCTAACCTTCTCTCTTCCTGCCCTGTGGGGCCCGGAAGGCAGGAGTCGGATGGACTTGCTTCCTGAGAGTGCACCTCCTTCCCCTCTGTTCTCATCTCTGCTGCTCTGGGTGCCAAGATGCATCCCTGTACAGATCCAGGTCTCTTGCTGTTGCCCATTGAGGCTGCAAGTGGGGAAAGAGCAGGGGACCCTGGAAGCTCTGCCCAAGTCTGCCAGGGGGCGTCTTTGGATTGCCATGCAGCTGCCTGTGGCAAATCGGTTGTAGGCTAGGTTAGGTGACACCAAGCTTTCTCTGTAAGGTGCCCGTTCCGATCCTCATTGCTTTATTCACCAGCTCTCTAGTGAGCACCTTCCTGGTTTCAGGCACTGGGAGTGCAACAGCCAACATCAGAAGACCTCTATCCCTCAAAACCTGTATGCAGGCGGGCCCCAGGCTGCCATATCTAATCAGAAGGGTCCTCCCTGTCTCAGCAGCCCTCATGGGCTTGGAAGGGCCAGCATCAGTTCAGAGACCTGAGAAGCAGCTCAGGGCACCTTGTTTGGAATGGTAGGGCGCAGGCCCCCTTCAAGACTCGATTTGAAGCAGCCCTGTTCCCCTCCAAAGCCCGTCCTATATTTGAACCATCTGAAGATGTCCAGGTTTCTTTTAAATTGGTGATTGTGGTGCTTTGAGGAGTCAGACTGGGAAGAACCCCTCTTTATTTATTTTTTTAAATAAATACATCTTTTTTTCCTTTTTTTTAGGATTTATTTATTTATTTGAAAGAGTTATACAGAGAGAGAGAAGGAGAGGCAGAGAGAGAGGGGTCTTCCATGCACTGGTTCACTCCCCAATTGGCCGCAGTGGCTGGAGCTGTGCCAATCCCAAGCCAGGAGCCAGGAGCTTCCTCCAGGTCTTTACATGTGGGTGTAGGGGCCCAAGGACTTGGCCCATCTTCCACTGCTTTCTCAGGCCATAGCAGAGAGCTGGATCAGAAGTGGAGCAGTCTCGAATCGGTGCCCATAAAGGATGCCGGCACTGCAGGTGCTGGCCCCGAGAACCCCTCTTTCTAGCACACTTATTGGCCAGGAGGCTCCAGTGTTGCCCACCTGTGCCTAATGTCAGAGAGTAGACTTGAAGCTGTAGCCTGTTGCCAAGTGGAGAAACCAGGCAGGCTTTCTTGTTCAAGGTCAGGTGCAGGGTCACTTATATTTGACCAGGAGTGGTCAGACACCCAACCTGCCAGGCTAGCAGACAGAGCCTTCTAGGCAGCCTCCTGGGGCAGCCTTGGGTGGTGAGAAGACCCAGAAAAGGGGAGAGAGCCCTTGGGGGATGTTCACACAGCACCCACGGACAGCCCCCACGCACACCTTGGAGCACCAGCATCCACTTGCTGCCCTAGAACATACACACAGTTACACTGAGATGCACTCCCATCCCCAGGTCACCATGGCCACTTCTTTCTTGCTTCCTCTTTCTCACAATTCAGGCCAAGCTGACTGGAGCAGAGGGTGGGTGTATACATGTAGCCCGACCCCCCTCCCTCCCTTGGAGCTGCCTGCACCTCCTACCTGCCCTCCCCCTTCTCACATGGTCCCAGTTATGACCCTCCTCACAGGACCCTTGGCTCAGCCCAGCTGAAACAGTGAGGCACTGGACTCTGTCCCCACACCCCCAGGTCCTGGGTCCCCCAAGACCCATGCCCCTGTTTTGCATTTCTTGGCAGGATTTCCCTAGAGATTATGACGTTGCAGCCCCGCTGCGAGGACGTAGAGACGGCCGAGGGGGTAGCTTTAACTGTGACGGGTGTCGCCCAGGTATAGTAACTCAGCAGCCCTGCGCATGTCCGTTGAGCTGCCTCGTCCTCGTGCTGGGGTCGGGGGGAGGAAGAGACGATGGCAGCCAGTGGCCATCTCTCCAGTGCCCTTGCCCCCACCCCCACCTCCTGAGAGGGTCATCACTACCGGAACGTGCTCGCTCGGCCCCCTTGGCCACCCAGCAGGACTAACAGACACCCCTTCTCTCCTCAGCAGCCCGCGAGGGACAGAACCAGTGCTGAGGGCTCCCGTATCAACTAACCCTACCCCGTTCTTTGCAGGTGTTGGAAATGCCAAGCCTAGAGTCTACCCTGTTCCCTGGGAAGGGGGTGGAAGGACTGGGGCCCAGAGGGAGCAGCCATGTGAGGCAGGGGAGCTCTAAGCTCTGGGAGTCACAGCTGGAGACCTAGGTGAGGGGCTTCTTGCCATAATGTCCCTCACGACTTTCCAGGGCAGCAAGGCTCGACCATCAGGTAGGCCCCTGCTCAGGGGTTTGGCTGAGTACCTCGGGAAGGAAGGCATCCTCAGCTGCTCCCTTGTCCTGGCTGGGTGTCTGCACCCCTCCTTGTTTATTCTGTTTTGCCTACCCTGCCCCTCAGCCTGCAGGGCTCCCACCCATAGGGGAGCCTGTGCTCAGCTAGTAAGGGATCAGTGGGTGTCAGGGTGAAGAGACAAGCCCTGAACGCCTGTGAGGCCAGGGCAGGACCTGGGGCTGCCAGTGAAGACGACGTTGCCAGTGTAAGGAGAACTTCTGGGGCTGCCTGTCTCCCCATGACAGGCCTCAGTCTCCAGGTCTGAGAAAGGAGGGGGGCACAGCTACCACCCTCCTCTCCTCTGGGTCTGGGGCCTCCCTCTGCTTCCGAAGCCTGGCTCAGACACCTCTGTGACCCTGGCAGGTGAAGATCATGACAGAGAAGGAGCTTCTGGCTGTGGCCTGTGAGCAGTTCCTGGGCAAGAACGTGCAGGACATCAAGAACGTTGTCCTGCAGACTCTGGAGGGACATCTACGTTCCATCCTCGGTGAGGCCTGCCCAGCCTGGCAGGAGCCTGGCAGGGGTCCCCAAGCCAGGGCCAAGGTGGGGTTGTGGGGCAGGGGGACTGTCCCACCAAGGTGTCAAGTGGAAACATTTTCTCTCAAGCTTTTCATTTCAAAACTTCAGGTGACTAGAGTGAAGGAAAGGGCATTAGGGTGGAGTTGGGAGCTGCCAGTCTGCTCAGGCGCCTGGCACTGCCCAACACTTCCCTGTTCAGCCTGGGCTCTGCGGAAGGAAGTTCAGTGTTAAACCCTGTTGAAAAGAAACACCAGCAAGATGCAGCCCAGACAGCAGGACCCCTGCGTGCACCCAGACGTGCTCTTGCATTGCTGTCTTCCTCCCAGCTGGCTGGGTGTCTGTGGAGCTAGCCTGTGACCCTTCCGCCCCCAGGGACCCTGACTGTGGAGCAGATCTATCAGGACCGGGACCAGTTTGCCAAGCTGGTGCGGGAGGTTGCAGCCCCTGACGTGGGCCGCATGGGCATTGAGATCCTCAGTTTCACCATCAAGGTGCGGTGTGCTTGGAGGGCCGTGTCCCGCAGCATGCATCTGGGACGTGGGAGCTTGGCAGGAGGGGCCCCTTTGGGCCTATTACCCCTGCCTGTCATGACTTCCTTTCTCCCCAGGACGTGTATGACAAAGTGGACTACCTGAGCTCGCTAGGCAAGACGCAGACTGCGGTGGTGCAGAGAGACGCCGACATTGGTGTGGCCGAGGCTGAGCGGGACGCAGGCATCCGGGTATGGGGGGGATTTCTCTTCCACCCTCAGAGACTGGGACTTTGGGAGTGATGGGACCATGGTTCCTCAGGGTACCCTTAGCGCCTGTTCCTCCTGCTCCCAGGAAGCTGAGTGCAAAAAAGAGATGCTTGATGTGAAGTTCATGGCAGACACCAAGATCGCTGACTCCAAACGAGCCTTTGAGCTACAAAAGTCAGCCTTCAGTGAGGAGGTCAACATCAAGGTGAGAGGCCGCCGGACATCCTGGGTTGGAGCTCAGGGCTGAGCTCTTGGTGGCCAGGCTCTAATGTGCTGGCCTATTCCGCTGCAGACCGCCGAGGCCCAGCTGGCCTATGAGCTGCAAGGGGCCCGTGAGCAGCAGAAGATCCGGCAGGAAGAGATTGAGATTGAAGTGGTGCAGCGCAAGAAGCAAATTGCCGTGGAGGCGCAGGAGATCCTGCGCACAGACAAGGAGCTCATCGCCACTGTGCGCCGCCCCGCTGAGGCCGAGGCCCACCGCATACAGCAGATCGCTGAGGGTGAAAAGTGAGCACCCCCTGGGGTGGGAGTTGGGGTCTGCCCTTGGTGCACTCTCTCCACTCTGCTGACCACACCTAGGAAGGATGTTGTCAGGATGACTAAGGTAGGGAAAGGAGGCTTCAGTGCCTGGCATAGCATCTGGACAAAGAGCTGCCTGCTCAGTTCTTTCTCCACTTGTAGCTGAGAGCCAGTAGCCTCTCTCCAGCCAGAGCTAGGCAGCCAAGGTGCCTGCCTTCAGAAGTCTCCCACCCCTGGCAGCCACCAGACCAAAGGGCTGGAGAGGACCCTGGCACCTGCCACTGATCTACCCACCTGGGCTCCCCCAGGGTGAAGCAGGTCCTCTTGGCACAGGCAGAGGCTGAGAAGATCCGCAAAATCGGGGAGGCGGAGGCAGCGGTCATCGAGGCGATGGGCAAGGCAGAGGCTGAGCGGATGAAGCTTAAGGCTGAGGCCTACCAAAAATACGGGGATGCAGCCAAGATGGCCTTGGTGCTGGAGGCCCTGCCCCAGGTGAGGCTCCCACTCCAAACTGGGACCCAAGGGTTGAGTGTCCTCACTTGGCTAGCTTGGCAAGTGCCAGACTTCTGGAGGTCTTGTCGGTAACACGGTCACAGACTGGAGGGATTGATTGGGTGTGGGGGACAAGAACTACCCCAATGGGCCTCTCTTACCACAGACTGTAAATAAGGAGCGTGGGTAAGGTGGAGAAAGGAGGGAGATAAGCTGGGTATAGCAGGCGGATGGCGTCAGCATATCAACCATGCTCTGTGTCCCCCACCCCCAGATTGCTGCCAAAATCGCAGCACCACTGACCAAAGTCGATGAGATTGTGGTCCTCAGCGGAGACAACAGCAAGGTGACATCAGAAGTGAACCGGCTGCTGGCCGAGCTACCTGCCTCTGTGCACGCTCTCACGGGTGTGGACCTATCGAAGGTGTGTACCTGCCTCGCTGTAGTGGGGCTGCCTGGTGGCCCAGTGAAGAGGCCCAGGCAGAGTGGTCCTGGGGCCCAGAGCCAAGGCCTCATGGTATCTCTCATCCTTGCAGATACCCCTGATCAAGAAGGCCACCGGTGCACAGGTGTGAGGCTGCCACAGGCCCGCGCCTTTCAGCAGCCACCCGCCCCCCCTCCAGCACCCGTTTTAACACCACAGGAACAACGGGAACGTTACTGACTCTGGTGCCTTATTTTGTAGGGACCAGAAGTGCTGCGTGTTTAGGCCATCTCTGGCTGTCTTCCCTTCTCTCCTGTGTCTGTCTCCTTTTCCTCTCTCTCCCACATTCTCACTTTCACTGCCACATTCATCTAGTTTGTCTCTTCCACTCTGGTCTCCCCTTTTGTCTCTTCCTTTGTCTGTCTTTTTCTCTCCCTCTCCTCCACCCTCTGTGCACATCACTTACCCTATGCTGAAGATGTTTATTATAATCACTGTCTGTCTGTGGGGGGTGGCCCTGCTGCTCCTCAGATCCTGGTGCCTTGAAGTTCTCTGTGCATCTGATCATCCTCCCTGTGGCCCTGGCCAGAGCTCAGCAGGAATTCTGGGTGGGATGAGCACTCCTCTGTCCTGGCCTGGCCCTCCCAGCCTAAGCCCTGCCCTGGGGAGCCCACAGCCTCACCCATTCCTGCCCCTCTAAACCTGGGTAACCCTGGCTCTTCCCTACCCCAGGGACACAGGGGAAAGGGTCTTCTGTCTATAGCAGCTCCCTCACTTTACTACTGCCTTAGGAGGCCCCTGCTTGTGCTCAGGGAAGTCCTCTTCTTGGGCCTGTCCCTGCTACGTGGGGTGGGGATTGGTCCTAACTCTGCTAAGTTTTTCTGAGATCAGGATCTGGCCCTGCTGGGGACAAGAATATACGTAGACCCTCTTCCTGCTATGGCTGCACTGTCCTGGGTACCAGGCCCTTCCAGTGGGCAAGGCTGTGCCAATCATACACAGAATCAAGTGCTGTAAACCTATTGGCCAGAGTCTCCATGTGCCCTCTTCCTGGCCGGAGTGATAGGGTTCTAGCCATAGGAAACAGCCCACTCTTCTGTCTTCTTGCTTCAGTGGAGGCAGAGGAGCCCAGAGCCCAGGGCCCACACATCCTGGCAGGGGTGCTGTGGGTATCCCATAGTCCTAGTCCCTGATCCCTGGACCTGCCCCAACCTGTGTAGCTCTTCCTGCATGTGGATGCTGCATGTCTGGTGTGGGGCTTGGATGTTGCACTGCCCCACTGCCTGCCCTTTCTGGTAAAATAAAAATCTCTTCTGCCTATCTTCTGTGCTCTGTCTCTGTGACAGGAGAGACTGGGAACCAGGAACTAATCAGGTCTGTCACCCAGCCTCAAGGCTGCTCTCAGCTTGTTCTTCCCCACCCTTGCCACTGGGGGGCATTAGCACATTGGCCTTGCCTACCTAAAGCAGCCTGGGGCATGGTGGTGATTGGCCAAGATGCTGAAGCCAGTCTTAACTGAGCCCTGGGAGACAATGGCCCCATTGCAGGCAGAAGGTGGAGAGAGCAACAGGCTTGGTAGTATAGCCCACCTCCCAGGCTTGAGGACATGAACTCTGAAGACAGGCTGCTTGGATCTCAGCTTCACCTGTGTAATCTTAGACAAGCAATTTCATCTTTTTAGGTCTCAATCTTTTTATTCATTTTATAAATTTATCTGGTGCTTGCCCTGTGCCAGGCATTGTGTTAGGTGTTGGGAAGACTACAGTGCCTTTTACAGCTTACATGTAGGTCAAAATAAAATAAGAAAAATTGAATGTACAGCACACTAGGTAATGGTCAGTAATAATGAAGAAAGAAAAACAGGGAAGGGAATTGAAAGTTTGGGGAGGGTGCTGAGACGTTAGGATCCAAGGAAGGACTCATGGAGATGGTGGCACTGAAGAAAGTAAAGGAATGAACCATGCAGATACCTGCGGGGCAAGGTTTGCGCCCAGTGTGTCTGGTGTGATAAAAGAACAGCAAGGTCTGTGTGTTTGGAAGCAAGCAGGTGAGTGAGCAAGAATATTAGAAGATGAAGTTACAATGTGAACCTGTTTCCACATCCTGTAGAAGCTTAATAAAGCATATTTTAGGCCTTACATTGACATGGTAAACTGCTAAAGGGCCTTGAAGAGAAGAGTGATGTCATCTGACACATCTGAAAAGATTAAAAGATCATTCTAGGCATTCAAGGAAGAATACAAAATCTATACAATAACTGTTGCTGGAACCATCTGGGTTTGTATGGGGGGAAATTAAATCACAATCCCTACCTCACTCCATATGCTGAACTAGTTTGAGAAGGATCAGACACCTAATGTCAAAATAGAAACCATAAAGCTTATGGAATAATCAGAGATGTTTTTATGACCTTGGCGTAGGCAGGATTTCCTTAGACGAGAACTGAAAGGAGTTGGGTGTGTGATGCAGCAGGTTCAGCCTCTGCTTGAAATCCTGTATCCCATGTTGGAGTACTTGGTTCAAGTCCCACTCCTGCGCTTCTGATCCAGCTTGCTGCTATGGTACACCCTGGGAGGCAGCAGATAATAACTACTTGGGTCCTTGCCACCCACATGGGAGACCTGGATGGAGTTCTGGCCTCCTGGCTTTGGCCTGACCTATCCCTAGCTGTTGTGGGCATTTAGGGAGTGAACTAGCAGTTGGAAGATCTCACTCTCACTCTTAAGTAAATTTCCAAAAGATCACTAAGCATAAAAGAAAACGTACATATATTGGGCAAAGTATGACAGTACTTCAAAAACGTGGACAAATTAAAGAGAAGTTTGAAGCAAGCATTTGGCCTAACAGTTAAGACTTATTCCATATTGGAGTTCCTGGGTTCAATACATGGCTCTGGGTCCTCACTCCCATCTTACAGCTACTGCAGACAACAGTGATGGCTCAAGTAATTAGGTTCCTGCCACTGGCATGGAAGACCTGGATTGAGTTTCTGGCTCCTGGCTTTGGTCAGGCCCAACCCTGGCGATTGCAGGTATTTGGGCAGTGAACCAGTGGCTGGGAGCTCAGTCTCTGTTCCCCTCTCTCTCTTGTAGAGATGCTGCATAAATGCCTCTCAGGGGAGCACACCTCCCTGGAATTAGAGGCACTGCTGCAGTTTCTGCCCACACCAGAACAGGCCAGGAATGGGCACACTTGCCCCATGAAATGTGGCAGCAGAGCAGCAGGGGGCTAATGACATGAATTGGTACCTGGAGTGTTTTCAGGAATTTGTAAATTTGCAGGAGCACCTAAGTGGGCCTGTCTCTGAAGATTTACAACACAGCTCTAATCCCTATCTTAGACCACCAGACCAAATTCCTTTTCCCAAATCCTTAAGTTGATGTATAACCTTGCCTACATGCCTGCTGACTTGTAGACTGGCTGGTAACTTCTAAATAAAAGTGGGAGCACATAGCTATCCAGTGGCGCACTCTTAGAATGAACGCTCCCATGTCCTGTCTCCCCATTTGAAAAACCCTACATCTGGCGCCCAAACAGGGACCCTTGGCACATTGTGCAAGGGATGGCTCACTACGCCCAGCAAGGGTTATAGACTTGTCGTTCATCTCTTTCAAGATCCCAGTGAGTCATTAACATGGGGAATTCTCTCTTCCTGGCTCAACAGAAGCCTTCGCTGTCTTAAATATAAAGTTAAAAAATGAAAAAGTTATTTTGGTGCAGAAAAAATTTGCAGTCAATGCATATGAAGTATCTTCAAAAAGTTCATGAAAGGGCTGACACTTCAGCTCACTAGGCTAATCCTTCACCTGTGGTGCCGGCACACTGGGTTCTAGTACTGGTCGGTGCACTGGATTCTGTCCCAGTTGCTCCTCTTCCAGTCCAGCTCTCAGATGTGGCCCGGGAGTGCAGTGGAGAATGGCCTAAGTCCTTGAGCCCTGTACCCGCATGGGAGACCAGGAGAAAGCACCTGGCTCCTGGCTTTGGATCGGCGCAGCACCATTGAGGGGTGAACCAACAGAAGACCTTTCTCTTTGTCTCTCTCACTGTCCACTCTGCCTGTCAAAAAAAAAAAAAAGTTCATGGAAAATGCTTCTTTCCAAACTATGGATTTCAAAAATTTCTCTGCATCAAAATAAACTTAAATTTTAATTCCATTTTCATGAACTTTTTTGGGGAAAGATTTATTACTTGAAAGGCAGAGTTAGAAAGGAGCAGAGAGGGGGGGGGGGCCTTCAATCTGCTGATTCACTCCCCAAATGGCCACAATGGCCAGAACTGGGCCGATCAGAATCCAGGAGCTAGGAGCTGCTTCTGGGTTTTCCACACGGGTGCAAGGGCCCAAGCAGTTGGGCCATCTTTTACTGTTATTTTAGGACATAGCAGAGAGCAGAGAGCTGGATCAGAAGTGGAGCAGCTGGGACTTGAATGAGTGTCTATATAGGATGCTGGCACTGCAGGTGGTGGCTTTACCTGCTACGCCACAGTGCCAGCACCTTTTCATGAACTTTCTGACGTGTCCTTATAAGTCTATCAGATGAAACTTAGGAAAATGAAAGGGCAAGCATTGTCAGAAAAAATATTTACAATATAGTTCTGTAACAAACATACATTCCAAGAAATATGAAGAGCTACAAATCAGTACTAGAAAGATAACCCAGGATGAACATCACTGAATGCATGCCCTGCCAAGAAGAAAATGGAGAGAGGCAGAGGCAGCAGGGATGAGAACATCAGTGCTGCAGATGCAGTATGAAGGCAACTTGCACCCACAGAAGGCTGAGAGGACTCACATGCCGGGTGTGTTTGTAACAGGAGGTGCTGGCATATAAGATAAGAGAGAAGGAAATAAGAATGCCTCTAATTTGCCACAGCCATGAATTTGAACGCTCAGTATTGCAAATACACCAGTTCTCCCAAATTGAGAGGTTCAGTACAATCCCCATCAAAATAAATTCTCAATTGACAAACTAAATCTGAAAGTTACAGGAAAAGGCCAAAGGATCAAGAATAAGGACGGGCCAGCGCTGTAATGCGTCAATCCTCTGCCTGCAGTGCTGGCATCCCATATGGGCACAGGTTCTAGTCCTGGCTGCTCCTCTTCCCATCCATTCTGCTATGGGAGATGGCCCAAGCACTTGGGCCCTTGCACCGACTGGAGACCCAGAAGAAGCTCCTGGTTCCTGGCTTCAGATCAGCTCAGCTCTGGCTATTGTGGCCGTTTGGGGAGTGAACCAGCAGATGGATGACCTTTCTTTCTGCCTCTCTCTCCTCTTACTGTCTGTAACTCTACCTCTCAAATAAATAAAATCTTAAGAAGAAGAAAAAGGAAAACAAGCAGCTTGAAAAGAGCAAAATTGGATGATTTAATCTATCAGGTCTTAAAAGTTTTGATAATGAAAACTGTGATACTGGCACACAGTAGAATAATGAAGTAGAATGAAGACTATAGAAACAGACCCACACGTACGTGGACACTTACTTGGTTTTCTGAGCAGTGTGGCATTGAAGACCTGTGAAGAAAGGACAATTTTCAGTAAAAGATGCTGAATATGGAGGGAAACAGAACACACTTTTTTTTTTTTTTTTTTTTTTTTTTTTTTTTACAGAGTGGACAGGGAGAGAGACAGAGACAGAGAGAAAGGTCTTCCTTTGCTGTTGGTTCACCCTCCAATGGCCGCCAAGGCCAGCACGCTGCGGCCGGGTCACCACGCTGATCCAAAGGCAGGAGCCAGGTGCTTTTCCTGGTCTCCCATGGGGTGCAGGGCCCAAGCACCTGGGCCATCCTCCACTGCACTCCTGGGCCACAGCAGAGAGCTGGCCTGGAAGGGGGCAACCAGGACAGAATCCGGCGCCCCAACCGGGACTAGAACCTGGTGTGCCGGCGCCGCTAGGCGGAGGATTAGCCTAGTGAGCCACGGCGCCGGCCGACAAAGGTTTTCTTGAAAGACACTACAAGGATCAATAACCATGAAAACATGTGAACCTATAAGAAATGAGAAGACAGCAGTGAGAGGACAGAACCTGTCACCTAGAGCTTTGTCCGTCCCCAGCTGCTATTACCAGTAACCTGCTCATTGGTGCAAAGGTCCAGCACCTTGTATGAAGCCCAGGAATAATTAAGGACTACTATGAGTCATGTTTCTGCTCCATTCCCAGCCTGAAATCAGAGATGTTAGGAAAGACTGGTACATATAAATGGAATCCTGAATCCAAGTAGTGGAGGGCATCAGGAAATTTCTAGGCCTTGTACAACCTGGCTCAAGTTAGCATACAGTTACTTTAGTTCTCCTAATAAAGATGCTTTTCTTTAAAAAGAAAAACTATAGGCCGGCGCCGCGGCTCACTAGGCTAATCCTCTGCCTAGCGGCGCCGGCACACCGGGTCTAGTCCCGGTTGGGGCGCCGGATTCTGTCCCGGTTGCCCCTCTTCCAGGCCAGCTCTCTGCTGTGGCCCGGGAGTGCAGTGGAGGATGGCCCAGGTGCTTGGGCCCTGCACCCCATGGGAGACCAGGAAAAGCACCTGGCTCCTGGCTCCTGCCATCGGATCAGCGCGGTGTGCCGGCCGCAGTGCGCCGGCCGCGGCGGCCATTGGAGGGTGAACCAACAGCAAAAGGAAGACCTTTCTCTCTGTCTCTCTCTCTCACTGTCCACTCTGCCTGTCAAAAAAATAAATAAAAAATTTAAAAAAATTAAAATTAAAAAGAAAAACTATAGAAGATTGATAAATTGAAATATTAATGTACCTGGGAAAGCAGTGAAAGATGGCCCAAGCACTTGGCAGGGGAATGGATGAAGAGCCAGGCTCCTGGCTTCAGCCTGGCCCAGCTCTGGCTGTTATGGATCCAGCAGATGGAAATCCCTCTCTGTCACCCTCTCTTTATAACTCTGCCTTTCAAAGAAATAAATCTTTAAAAAAATTTTTTAAGATTTGTTTTATTTCTTTGAAAAGCAGAGTTAACAGGGAGAGGGGGAGAGGAAATAAAAAGATCTTCCACCTGCTGATTCACCCCCAAAATGGCCACACCCAGGAGCTTCATCCAGGTACCCCACATGGGTGCAGGGGCCCTAGGGCTTGTGCCATCTTCCTCTGCTTTCCCAGGCACGTTAGCAGGGAGCTGGATCAGAAGTGGAGCAGCTGGGATGCAAACTGGCACCCATATGGGATGCCGGCATTACAGGCAGCAACTTAACCCATTATGCCACAGCACTGGCCCCTAAAAACTTTTAAAAGACACATTAATCTCTAGGGAGTTGTGTTGAGTGAGAAAAGCCAATCCCAAAATGTTACATACTGTATGATTAATTGTGGTGGAATACATGTAACATAAAATTTACCATCTCTTAACAATTTCCAAACTATAGTTCTGTGATACTAATGGCACTTCCCTTGTTGGACAACCTCTACCACCAGCCATCTCCAAAACCTCTTTATTTTATAAAACTGAAAACCTGGACCCATTAAACAACAACACCCCAGAATCTCCTTTCCCAAACCCCTGGCTAGCATTGTTCTGTCTCTGTGAATTTGACTGCTCTTGGTCCTCTACAAAGTGGAATCATCCAGTATTTGTCCTCATGTGACTGGCTTGTTTGACTTAACATATTGTTCAGGTTCATCCCTGCATTATAGAATGTGTCAGCATTTCCTTTCCTTTCAGGCTGAATAATGTCCTATTGTATGCAGATGTCACATTTTCCATTCATGGGCTGATGGGCACTTGGGCTGCTTCCACCTTTTGGCTATTGTGAATAATGCTGCTGTGAACATGGGAATACAAATATCTGCTCAAGGCCTTGCTTTCAGTTCTTTTGTGTATGTACCCAGAAGTACAATTACTGAACAATGTAGTGATGCTGTTTTTTATTTAAAAGCTTTTCCTTTTTAAAAAAGATTTATTTCTTTTTACAGATTTATTATATTTATTTGAAAAGTAGGGCAACAAAGAGAGAAAAACAGAGATCTTCAGTCTGTTGGTTCACCGCCTAAATGGCTACAGTGGCCAGGGCTGGGCCAGGCTGAAGCCATCTGACAAGGGAGGCAGGCACCCATGTACTTGAGCCATCTTCTACTGCTTTCCCAGGTGCATTAGCAGAGAGCTGTATCAGAAGCTGATAAATGGGGGATCTGTGCTCCCATGCCACCTTAATCCACTCAACTGCTTGCCCTAGTAATGCTATTTTTAATTTGTTGTTTCCCACAACAGCTACACTGTTCTACATTCCCACCGGTAATACATAAGGATTCCAACATCTTGGCATCCTTGCAGACACTTTTTATTTACTTTGTTGATTTTTATTATTATTATTATTTTTGACAGGCAGAGTAGACAGTGAGAGAGAGAGACAGAGAGAAAGGTCTTCCTTTACCGTTGGTTCACCCTCCAATGGCCGCCGCGGCCGGCCGGTGCACTGCGGCCGGCGCACCGCGCTGATCCGAAGCCAGGAGCCAGGTGCTTCTCCTGGTCTCCCATGTGGGTGCAGAGCCCAAGCACTTAGGCCATCCTCCACTGCACTCCCTGGCCACAGCAGAGAGCTGGCCTGGAAGAGGGGCAACCAGGACAGAATCCAGTGCCCCGACCGGGACTAGAACCTGGTGTGCCTGTGCTGCAAGGCGGAGGATTAGCCTATTGAGCCACGGCGCCGGCCCCAATTTTATTATTTTTAAGATTCATTTTTATTTATTTGGATGGCAGAATTAGAGAGAGATAGGCTTAACTTATTCTACCACCATGTCAGCCTTTTTATTTTTATAGTAATCCACCTAATAGGCATGAGGTATGTATAACTTTTTTTTTTTTTTTTTTTTTTGACAGGCAGAGTGGCAGTGAGAGAGAGACAGAGAGAAAGGTCTTCCTTTACAGTTGGTTCACCCTCCAATGGCCACTGCGGCCGGCACGTCACACTGATCCAAAGCCAGGAGCCAGGTACTTATCCTGGTCTCCCATGCAGGTGCAGGGCTCAAGGACTTGGGCCATCCTCTGCACTCCTGGGCCACAGTAGAGAGCTGGACTGGAAGAGGGGCAACTGGGACAGAATCCGGCGCCCCGACCGGGACTAGAACCCAGTGTGCCGGTGCCACAAGGCAGAGGATTAGCCTATTGAGCCGCAGTGCCGGCCATGTGTAACATTTTTGAAATGATTACATTTTAGGAATGGAGAACAGGTTGTTGGTTGCCAGGGAAAAAGAGGGGTGGAAGAAATGGGCATGGTTGTAACCATAGGGATCCTTGTATTAAAACTAGTTGTGGCCGGCGCCACGGCTCACTAGGCTAATCCTCCGCCTTGCGGCACAGGCACACCAGGTTCTAGTCCCGGTTGCCCCTCTTCCACGTCAGCTCTCTGCTGTGGCCCGGGAGTGCAGTGGAGGATGGTCCAAGTACTTGGGCCCTGCACCCCATGGGAGACCAGGAGAAGCACCTGGCTCCTGGCTTCGGATCAGCGCGGTGCGCTGGCCGCGGTGGCCATTGGAGGGTGAACCAACGGCAAAAGGAAGACCTTTCTCTCTGTCTCTCTCTCTCACTGTCCACTCTTCCTGTCAAAAAAAAAAGAAAAGAAAATAGTTGTTCAGTCCCTACCTTGGGGATAGATGAAATCATGTATGTGATAAATTCCTGTTGAACCTAACACACACTACAGACAAATGAGCACAAGTAAAACAGGAAATCAGAATAAAAATGGGTGGATATATCAGTGTCATCATCTAGTCACATTTGGTTGTGTCTGTGATGTTATACTATGGTTTTGTAAAATGTCACCATCAGGAAAAGTGTGCAAAGTATGTAAGATAGCTTCATACTGTTTCTTAAAACTGCATGGGAATCTACAATTATCTCAATAAAAGGGTCAACTAAGAGGCAAGCATTTAGCCTAGCAATTAAGATACCTGCATCCCATATCAGAATGTCAGTTTGAGTCCTGCCTCTGGCTCCTGACTCCAGCTTCCTGTTAATGCAGGCAACAGTGATGGCTCAAGTAACTGGCTTCCTGCCACATCAGGCAGGAGGCTTGAATTGAGTTCCCAGCTCCCAGGCTAGCCCTAGTCACTGTAGGCATTTTGTGAATGAACCAGTAGATGGAATCTCTCTGTCTCTCTCTGTCCCTCCCCTGCCCTCTCTCTCTCCTGCCATCTCAAATAACTAAAAACTTTTGCACCATGAAGGGGGAAGGCATTTGGTACAGTAATTAAGATATCACTTGGTGTCACAGAACAAAGTGACAGGGAACAAACGCCCGCAATTCTGCTTTGGTGTGGTGGGTGTGTGTGAATAAACGAGGCGTGGCAGCGGCAGCCTCAGTGCATGGGGAAGCGGGCAGTATGGCCAATGAAGCACCCACAGCAGCCGCCACCCACCTCCAGGAGTTGCTGCTGCAGCGGCTCCTGCAGAGCCACGTGGCCTGCACCAGGGCACCGAGCCCATCCAGGCCTGCTGTAGGTGCTGCCGCCTCCTGGAGATGGCCTGGAAAGCCACAAAGCCCACGATGGTGTGCTCACACTCCTCGGTCCCTGTAGCAGGGTCAACTGGCCGCACCAGGCGCTGGACAGGCCCTCCATGTGCCCACTTAAAGAGGACCCCGCACACACAGGCAAATGAGCCCAGTGGGCAGCTGCAAGGCCTTGGGCTGGGGGAGGCTGGGGCTCAGGTACTGCAAAGGGAACCCACGGGGGGCTGGGCTAGGGGGTCTGCCAGTTGGTGCTCACTGCTAATGTGCCTGGGAAGGCCACGGAAGATAACCAAGTGCTTGGGTCTCTGCCACCATGTGGGAGACCAGGGTGGACTTCCTGCCTCCTGGCTCTTGTGGTCATTTGGGAATTGAACCAGCAGATCAAAGAGCTCTCTCCCTGTCAAAAAAAATAAAAAAAAAAATAAAAAAAAAATATATATATATATGACTTGGGAGGCCAGCACTGTGCCATAGTGGGTAAAGCCACTGCCTATAGCAATGGCATCTCATATGGGCAGCAGTTTGATATCTGGCTGCTCCACTTCTGATCTAGCTCCCTGCTAATACACCTGGGAAAGCAGTGAAAGATGGCCCAAGTCCTTGGGACCCTGCACCCATGTGGGGGACCTGGATGAAACTCCTGGTTTCTGCCTGACCCAGCCCTGGCCCTTGTGGCCATCTGGGGAGTGAACCAGTAAATGGAAGATTCATTGTCTTTCTCTGTCTGTCTGTCTATTTCTCCCCACCTCACCCCCGCCTTTCCTTCTCTGTAATGCTTTCAAGTAAATCTAAAAAAAAAAAAAAAAAAAAAAAAAAAAAGATATTACTTGGGATGCCTTCATCACAGATCTGAACACCTAAGTTCAAGTCCCAGGTGTTCTCCAGATTCCTGCTAATGTGCACCCTGGGAGGCAGTAGGTAGTGGGCCCCTGCCATCTATGTGAGACCTGGGGATTCCAGGTTTTGGCTCCAACTTCAACTGTTCAAGTTATTTGAGGAGTGAATCAGCAGATGGGAAACACACACACACACACACACACACACACACCCCTAAGTAACTAAAATAATTTTAATTGTAAATAAGACACACACACAAAGAAAATTTAAAGGTAAACCTCAGAATCATGATAAAAGATATTTGCAGTACATATGACTGGGGAAAAAATTAGTCTTCAGAATATATTTTAGAAATCAAGAAGGAGAGGCCGGTGCCTGCTGTTCACTTGGCTAATCTTCCACCTGCAGCACCGGCACCCCGGGTTCTAGTCCCGGTTGGGGCGCCAGGTTCTGTCTCGGTTGCTCCTCTTCCAGTCCAGCTCTCTGCTGTGGCCCAGGAAGGCAGTGGAGGATGGCCCAAGTGCTTGGGTTCCTGCACCTGCACCGGAGACCAGGAGGAAGCACCTGGCTCCTGGCTTCGGATCGGCGCAGTGCCCCAGCCGCAGCACACCAGCCATAGCAGCCATTTGAGGGGTGAACCAACAGAAAAGGAGGACCTTTCTCTCTGTCTCTCTAACGCTGCCGGTCAAAACAAAAAAAAAAAAAATCAAGAAGGAGAAAAAAAAAAACAAACCAGATAACCCAGCAGAAAAATAGTCAAATGATGTGCTCAGGCACTACACAGAATGGCCCATTGATAGATGAAAATGTGAGAGGCAGATTATATTTTCCAAAGATAATGGCAACAGTATCTTCTATTCTACATGTTTATTTTATAGTGGGACTTTGGCAGCCCTTCCAGTTGGGGGAGAGCCAATACCTTCTTTCCTTGAAACTGGATGGATTTTTATTTTTTTATTTTTTATTTGAAAGGCAGAGTTAGGGGCCTGTGCTGTGGCATGGTAGGCTAAGCCTCCACCTGTGGCACCAGCATCCCATATGGGTGCTGATTCATGTCTCCACTGCCCCTCTTCAGATCCAGCTCTCTGCTAATGGACAAGGAAAGCAATGGAAGATGGCCCATGGGCTACTTCACTCACGTGGGAGACCCAGAAAAAACTCTTGGCTCCTGGCTTCGGTTCAGTCCAGCTTTAGCCATTGTGGCCTCTTGAATGAACCAGCAGATGGAAGATCTCTCTCTCTCTCTCTCTCTCTCTCTCTCTCTCTCTCTCTCTCTAACTCTACCTCTCAAATAAATAAAATATTTTTTTAAAAAAAGGCAGAATTAAACTCTCCCATCCACTGGTTCACTCGTCAGATGGCTGCAATGGCAGGGGCTGGACTAGGCTAAGCCAAGAGCCTGGCTTCATTCATGTCACCCTCATGGGTGCAGGTGCCCAAGCACTTGGGCCATCCTCTGCTGCTTTCCCAGGCACATTAGCAGGTCGATGGATTAGAAGTGGAGCCGCTGGGACTCAAACTGGCTCCCATTTGGGATGCTGGTGTTGCAGGCAGTGGCTTAACCTGCTACGCCACAGCGCTGGCCCCTGCCTGGATTTTTCTCACTACCTAGTCAATAGAGCATGACAGAAGTGACACTTTGCGACTTCTGAGGCTACATCATAAAGGACAGTGTAGCTTCTGCTTCATTTTCTGGAATACTCTGTTATTGAGAGGCAAGGAGAGACAGCCAGACAGAGTTTCCATCTGCTGATTCACTCCCTAGACGCCCACACCTTCTGTGGCTGGGCCAGGCCGAAACTGGGAGCTTGGAACTCGATCCAGGTTTCCTGTCTGGCTGGCAGAGACCCAACTACTCGAATCATCACCCGCTGCCTCCTAGGGTCTGCAGCAGCAGGAAACTGGAGTCAGGAACTGGAGCTGGGACCACAGCCCAGGTACTCTGATGTAGAACAGGTGTCTCAACAAGTGTCTTAACTGCTGCCAGACACTGGCCCTTGGAATATTCTTTGAGCTTTCAGCCACCAGGGAAGTAGTCTGACTGTTCTGAGGTCAGTGCACTGTGAGCAAGTCCAGAGACCAAGGGGTAGGGCCTGGGCCGCATGAGGAGAGATACTTGACCAGGCCCAGCTTCTGTGGCTGCTGTCTGGCTGCATAGGCAAGGAAGACCCCAAGCCAATTCTGCCTAGCCAACTTTCTAAACTCCAGAACCCTGACACTGTGTGAGATAGCAAAAGGACTGTTTATTCTTTAAGCTTCTAAGATTTGGGATTATTTGTTACACAGTAATAGATAATGGGAATAGCATAGTAATTGGAACTCTCCTGCATTGCCTGTAGGGATGTGTCTCTATAAAACCACGTTCAAAAGTCTGTTTGACAGACTCTGTTAGAGCTCTGTTAGAGCTGTGGCACAATGGTTAAGATCCTGCTTGGCATGCCAAATCAGAATATCTGCATTTAAGTTCTGTCTCCATTTTAGCTCCCTACTAACGTACACCCTTGGAGGCAGGAGCTGATGGCCCAGCTACTCAGGTTCCTGCTATATGTGTGGGAGACTCAGCTTTGAGTTCTGTGCTCCCAGCTCACCTCAATCTCAGCTGTTGAAGGTATCTGGAGAGTGAACCAATAGATGGAAGATCTCTCTGTTTCTCTATGTCTCTCTTCCTTTCAAATAAAAAAAAAATTTAAAGACTTATTTGTTTATTTGAAAGATGGGGGGGGGGGCTTTTATCTGCTGGTTCACTCCCAAAATGATCTCAATGACTAGGGCTAGGCCAGACTGAAGCCAGGAGCCAGGAACTTTATTCTCTTCTTCCATGTTTGGCAGGGGTCCAAGTACTCAGGACATCTTCCCCTGCCTTCTCAGGCACATTAGCATGAAGCTGGATCAGAAGCAGAGCAGCTGGGACTCAGACTGGTACACCAGTATGGGATGCAGGCAGTGCAAGCATCCCAGTGGCCTTAACCTGCTGTATCACAATGCTGGCCCTGAAAATAAATTGCAAAAAGAAAATAATCCATTAAACTGAATCTAAACATTCCCTTTGCACTACACAGAAATATGCATACATGTAAGTACAAAAATATTCATAGCAGGCCGGCGCCGCGGCTCACTAGGCTAATCCTCCGCCTAGCGGCGCCGGCACACCGGGTTCTAGTCCCGGTTGGGGTGCCGGATTCTGTCCTGGTTGCCCCTCTTCCAGGCCAGCTCTCTGCTGTGGCCCAGGAGTGCAGTGGAGGATGGCCCAGGTGCTTGGGCCCTGCACCCCATGGGAGACCAGGAAAAGCACCTGGCTCCTGGCTCCTGCCATCAGATCAGCGCGGTGCGCCGGCTGCAGCGCACCGGCCGCGGCAGCCATTGGAGGGTGAACCAACGGCAAAGGAAGACCTTTCTCTCTGTCTCTCTCTCTCACTGTCCACTCTGCCTGTCAAAAAAAAAAAATATTCATAGCAGCATTACAGATCATGGCCCCCAAGTTCAAACAGCCAAAATGTTCATTAATGGTACAATGAAAAAGTGGTTTTACAGTCATAAAATGGAATACTATGCAGTAACAAAGATAAACTAACTTCTACTACATAGAACAACTTGAATGAATCTTGCAAACACAAAGTTGAATGCAAGAAGCCAGACCCAAATTAATACATATTTTGTCATTCCATTAGATAAAGTCCAAAAACCAAGCAAAGCCAACTTATGACATTAGAAGTCAGGGTAGAAGTCACCTGTGGGGGAAAAAAGAGAAAGGACAGAGAAAGGACACAGGAGGCTCCTGCAGTGTTCTGGTGAAGGGCTGGCAATGTTCTGTCTCTTGCCCTGGGTGGTGGTTACATGGGTGTGTCCAGTTTGTGATAATTCACATAGACTTCCTAAGTATCTTGTATAAGGACACTTCCAGAGGTTCATGCAAAAAAATAGAATTAAGAGATAAGCTTATCTTGATGCACAAAATTTTGAAATCCATGTATATGAGAGGTTTTCAAAAAGTTTAGGGAAAATGTGTACTATTAAAAAAAAACCATACATGGATTTCAAATTTTTTGCATCAAAATGAGACTTGTTTTTTAATTTCATTTTTCCATGAACTTTTTAAAGTAGTCTCCTGCTTCAGTAAAAAGTTAATTAGCGGCAGGCTTTGTGGTGCAGCAGGTTAAGCCATGGCTTGGGATGTCCACATCCCATACTGCAATGCTGGATTGAGTCCTGGACATTCTGCTTTCAACCAGCTTCCTTCTGCTGCCTCAGAGGCAGCAGATAACGTTTCAAATGCTTAGAACTCTGCCAGCCATATGGGAGACCCTGCTGGAGTTCCTGGTTCCTGGTTTCAGCTTGGCCGAGCCCAACCTGTTGAGGGCATTTGAGGGGTAAGCCAGCAGGTAGAAGATCTCTCTTTCTTTTTTTGTTTTAAGATTTATTTATTTATTTGAAAGTCAGAGTTACACAGAGAGAGGAGAGAGAGAGAGGTCTTCCATCTGCTGGTTCACTCCCCATTTGGCCACAATGGCCAGAGCTGTGCCAATCAAAAGCCCAGAGCCAGGAGCTTCTTCCAGGTCTCCCATTCAGATGCAGGGGCCCAAGGACTTGCGCAATCATCTATTGCTTTCCCAGGCCTTGGCAGAGAGCTGGATTGGAAGTAGAGTAGCCAGGTCTTGAATCAGTGCCCATATGAGATGCCAGCACTGCAGGCTGCAGCTTTACCTGCTACGCCACAGTGCCAGCCCCAGAAGATCTCTGTTTCTTTCTTGCTCACTCTCTGTTACTCTACCTTTCAAATAAATTAATACATCTTTCAAAATAAATAATTTAAAATAAATTGCCTTCAAGATTTTTGGCTTGTCTGGAAGAATGGAGATGTTATTTACTGAAATGGGAAAAACATTTGAAGGAGCAAATTGGAGGCAGGATCAGGACCTCAGTTTCACTTTTGTTTTTTTATTTTTCACTTTATTTGAAAGGCTAAGAGACAGAGAAGAAGAGAATCTGATGGACACACAGAGAGAGCATCCATCTGCTGGTTCACTCTTCAAATGCCTGTAACAGCTGAGGCTCGGCCAGGCCAAAGTCAGGGGCCTGGAACTGAATTCAGGTTTCAATCTATATGGATGGTAGGGACCCAAGTACTTGAGGCATCATCTGCTACCTTCCAGCCTGCTGGATTCCTCCCAGGAAGCCATCATCTGTATTGCCAGGAAGCTGGATCACAAGCAGAGTATCCAGGACTCAAACCAGGCACTCTGAGATGGGATGTGGGTTTCCCAAATGGTGGTTCAACCTCTGCTGCAAATGCCTACCCCAGGAACTCAGGTTTTTTGTTTTGTTTTTAAGATTGATTTACTTATTTGAAAGGCAAAGTTACAGAGAAGCAGAAGCAGAGAAAGGCAGCTTTACCCGCTGTGCCACAGTGCCAGTCCTAGGAACTTAGTTTTGGTCATTTTATGTTGAAGGTGCCTAACAAAGATATTGGGGAGTAGCTTGGGCTGGAGACATGGATTGGGGAGTCACTGAGTGTAAATGGTATTTAAAGCTGTGGGACAAGATAAGATCAACAAAGGAACAAGTGTAGAAAAAAAAAAAGAGGTTCATTGATTGAGCCTGAGGGGCAGGTTCTTGGCACATCAGTTAAGACACTGGTTGGGGGTGGGGCCTCTGGCATTGTGGCACAGCAGGTTAAGCCATGGCCTGCAACACCAGCATTCCATAGGGGTGCTGGTTCAAGTCTTGACTGATCCAGCTCCCTGCTAATAACCCTGGGAAGGCAGTAGAGGATGGCCCACATGCTTGGGCCCCTGTACCCATGTGGGAGACCTGGATGAGGCTCCTGGCTGCTGGCTTCAGCCTGGCCTATTCCCAGATGTTGCAGCCATCTGGGGAGTGAACCAGCAGATGGAAGATCTTTATGTGTATGTGTGCACACATGCGTGTCTCCTTTCTATGTAACTCTGCCTTTCAAATTAATTAATTAATTTTTTAAAAAGACGTTGGTTAGGATACTCACATCTAAGTTCCTGGGTTCCAGCTCTGCCCCCCAATTCCAGCTTCTTAATAATGTGCATTTTGGGCCGGCGCCGCGGCTCACTAGGCTAATCCTCCGCCTAGCGGCGCCGGCACACCGGGTTCTAGTCCCGGTCGGGGCGCCGGATTCTGTCCCGGTTGCCCCTCTTCCAGGCCAGCTCTCTGCTGTGGCCAAGGAGTGCAGTGGAGGATGGCCCAGGTGCTTGGGCCCTGCACCCCATGGGAGACCAGGAAAAGCACCTGGCTCCTGGCTCCTGCCATCGGATCAGCGCGGTGCGCCGGCCGCAGCGCGCTGGCCGCGGCGGCCATTGGAGGGTGAACCAACGGCAAAGGAAGACCTTTCTCTCTGTCTCTCTCTCTCACTGTCCACTCTGCTTGTCAAAAAAAAAAAAACAAAAAAAAAAAAAACAAAAAAAAAAATAATGTGCATTTTGGGAGGCAGCAGATGATGGTTCATGCAGTTGGATCCTTGCCACCCTTTTGGGAGACCTGGAGACTCCTGACCTAGCATCTGTCTGACCCAGCTTCAGCCATCCTGGGCATTTAGGGAGTGAACCTGAAAACAGGGATCTCTTTTGGTCTGTTTGTCCCTCCTCACTCTGCCTTTCAAAATACATTTTTCAAAAAGATATATTTGGCCGGTGCCGCGGCTCACTAGGCTAATCCTCTGCCTTGCGGCACCGGCACACCGGGTCTAGTCCCGGTCGGGGCGCCGGATTCTGTCCTGGTTGCCCCTCTTCCAGGCCAGCTATCTGCTGTGGCCCAGGAGTGCAGTGGAGGATGGCCCAGGTGCTTGGGCCCTGCACCCCAGGAGAAGCACCTGGCTCCTGCCATTGGATCAGCGCGGTGCGCCGGCCACAGCGCGCTGGCCGCGGCGGCCATTGGAGGGTGAACCAACGGCAAAGGAAGACCTTTCTCTCTCTCTCTCTCTCACTGTCCACTCTGCCTGTCAAAAAAAAAAAAAAAAGATATATTTGTGGGGGCCAGCACTGTGGCCTAGCAGGTAAAGCTGCCACCTGCAGTGCCAGTATCCCATATGGCCCTGGTTCGAGTCTTGACTGCTCCACTTCCCATCCAGCTGTCTGCTATGGCCTAGGAAAGCAATAGATGATGGCCCAAGTGCTTGGGACCTTGCACCCACATGGGGGACCCGGAAGAAGCTTCTGGCTCCTGGCTTCGGATCAGCCCAGCTTCAGCTGTTGCGGCCATTTGGGGAGTGAACCAGCAGATGGAAGACCTCTCTCTCTCTCTCTCTCTCTCTCTCTGCCTCTCCGTCTCTGTGTGTAACTCTTTCAAATAAATAAATCAATCTTTTATTAAATCAATCTTTTATTAAAGATTGATTTATTTATTTGAAAGTTACAGAGAGAGGGAGAGACAGATCCTCCATCTACTGGTTCACTCCCCAAATGACTGAAGTGACCAGAGCTGGGACAGGCCAGGAGCTTGGAACTTCATCTAGGTCTCCCAGATGGGTGGCAGGGACCCAAGCACCCATTGAACCATCTTCTAGTGCCTTCCCAAGCACAGAGGAAGCCAGATGAGAAACAGTGTAGCTGGGACTTGAACCAGCACTCAGATACAGGATGCCAGCACTGTAGGCAGCAGCTTAGCTCGATATGCCACAGTGCTAGCTCTTGAAAGAGTCTTGAAGGCTGCTGGAGAGGAGGAAGGGCAATGAAGTGGGGGTGGGGGTGAAGAGGGGATGCATCAGTACCTGCACTGCAACCAACGGACTTCCAAAGTGAGGAAAGCCAGGCCTCTGTCCTTAGTACTTGGAACCAATCTTGGAGAGAGAGGAGTGGATAATACAGGGCCTTCTGCCTGCGCCCTTAGAGGCCTGCCTAGGTTGCTCCTCTTCACCTTGGGCTTCTCTGAGCCCATTGTGGAGCAGAAAATGGCCCAGTGGGCAGAATGGGCTCCTTGAGGGCACAGGTGATGCTGTTCCCCACTTCTTGGCTCTCATGATTCCAGTCTTGGAAACTGGAGTAGGGGGTACAGGCCTACTCCTCACCCTACTGTCTAAGTCCCGAGGCCTAAGGGTCCAGCATAGAGTGGGTTAAGGATAAGGGTCCTGGAACCTTTGCCTCTGGAGTGGGTGGAACTGTCGTCAAAGAGCCTTGTCTGACTGCCTATCTCTCCAGGCAGTCCAGGCTGCCTATCTCTCCCAGAGCAGCTGTGAGGCAGACAGATTGTTCTGGGAGGGAGGCAAGGGCTTGGCTGATGGCGGGAAGGATTTGAGGATGTAGGGGGCCCAGGCTCCCTGGGGATCCTTTCTGACCCAATAACTACCTTCAAGGCTGTGTCTGGGGGCTGGAGGGGGCATAACTCAAGTCTGGACATGGCAGAGGGGAGGTCCCTTGACCCAAAGAATAGGGATTGGTTGCTGCTGAATCGACTTAGGGAGGGGTTAACGGGAACATTTCCATTTCTGACTCCTGTGTCTCAGCAAGTGTGCAGAGATCACACCATTGCACATGTCTGCACAGGTGTCTGTGTGAGCACACATACCTTTGTGTAGGTGCCCCTTGGAGGGGACAAGTAGGGAAAGCCAGTTGGGAAGGAGCCTGACATTTGTTGAGCTCCTACTGTATATGGGCCAGGCTCTAGGTTAGACATTCCTGAGTAACTGACGCCATCTTGGCACGGCCTTCTCTTTCACCAACTTACACTGTTTCATAGCCATCACAGAAAAAAATGAGGAAGCCAAGCCTCCAAAATCGGGGGCAGAGGCCACGATCACTCAGCAGGCAGTGGTGGGACACTGACTCTGACAAATCCCAAACTGTGACTTTTCCCTCCTGGCTGTGAGTGTGTCCTGAGTAATGCTCAGCTGGGAAAACAAACAGGCACTCTAAGGCCCAGCCTCTGAATTGTGAAGGCTGAAGCTCTGTGGTTCCAGGGTGAGTGGGCTCTGTGAGAGGTCCTGGTTGACAGGCTGCAGGAGGTCAGAACAGAAAGGAGAGAGGACCGTTGCTGGGTTGGAGCTGGCCAAGAGCAGCAGTGGGAGAGGCTTCAAAAAGGGGCTTCAGGGGGCAGGCATTTGGCCTAGTGGTGAAGATGCATATGCCAAGACTGGCATTGTGGTACAGTGGGTTAAGCTGCTGCCTGTGATGCCAACACCCCATATGAGTACTGGTTCAAGTCGTGGCTGCTCCACTTCTGATCCATTTAATGTTCCTGGGAAAGCAGGAGGGAGAACAGAATAAAGCTGCTGGCTTCAGCCCAGCCCAGCCCCAGCCACCCAACCATTGTGGTCATTTGATCTGGAGAGTGAATCAGTGGATGGAAGATCTCAATCTCTGTTTCTCTCTGTGTGTCTCTCTCTGTCTCTCTGTCTGTCTGTCTCTCTCTTTCTGCATGTGTGTATAACCTTGCCTTTCAAATAAATAAATAAAAATTTTTTTTGACAGGCAGTGTGGATAGTGAGAGAGAGAGAGACAGAGAGAAAGGTCTTCCTTTGCCGTTGGTTCACCCTCCAATGGCCGCCGCAGCCGGTGCACCGCGCTGATCCAAAGGCAGGAGCCAGGTACTTATCCTGGTCTCCCATGGGGTGCAGGGCCCATGTACTTGGGCCATCCTCCACTGTACTCCCTGGCCACAGCAGAGAGCTGGCCTGGAAGAGGGGCAACCAGGACAGAATCCGGCACCCCGACCAGGACTAGAACCCGGTGTGCCGGCGCCACAAGGCGGAGGATTAGCCTAGTGAGCCACGGCACTGGGCAAATAAATATTTTTTTAAGATGCATGTGTTCCATATAGGAGTACCTGGGTTTGATACCTGGCTCTGGCTTCTGATTCCAGCTTCCTGCTAATATAGACCTCAGGAGGCAGCAAGTGATGTCTCAAATTGTTGAGTCCTTGTCACCCATGTGAGAGATGAGATCTAGTTTGAGTTCCCAGCTGCTTGCTTCAGGCATCTGGGGAGTGAACAGCAGATGGAAGCTCTTGAATAAATTTCAAAAAAATGTGTAAAGGATTGGATGGCGAGATGGAGTGTGAGAAGGGAACGTAATGAGGAAACTCCTGTGTCCTTCAAGGGCTTTCCCACACTTCCTTTCACGGAATGTTTCCAAGGGTCTTGTGAGCTAGGTTTCATTGTCATCCCCATTTCCTAGATGATGAGATGAGGGTTGGAGAGAAGGAAGCAGTATGTTCAGAATCACGTTACTGGTAACTGGAACACTGGAACAGCTCAGGTCTGAGTCCCTCATGTCTTAAAACTCAAACATGCCCAAGAAGACATACAAAATCACAGTGTGTTTGTGTGCAGAGCCTGGGGTCTGGAGTCTGGAGTCCTGTCTCTTACTGATTTCCCATGGGACTCAGGGCCATGCATTTCCTCCCCGAGCCTGAGTTTCTCTACTGTAAAATTGGCATGCGGCTGTCTTTTGGAGACTGAGAGATATTGGCAAAGCCCACAGAGAACCTATGCCTAGGACCCACCCCCTCCTTGGAGGGGCTCCAGGAGCATCTGCATATGTTGCTCCTGAGACTAACAGGCACACGGGGTCGAAGGGGACGTGCTGAGTACTGAGCACATGCTGAGTGTGTGCTGTCACCAGGGATCAGCATCTGTTCAGTGTAAGGTGTAAGGATAAGGCCCATGAAGGAGATGAATGAGACAGGGGCTCCACTCATGGAATAGGTGGAGATAAACAAGGCTTCAGTGGAACTTACTGGAGTAGGATGAGGAAAGCAGTAAGAGCAGGTCTAAAGCCTGGTTATAGGGGGCAAGAGTCAAGGAGGACAAGAGAAGTTTTACAGATGCATCGAGATGCAACCCAGCTGGGGCAAACGGCTCCCACATGAGTGGCAGGGGCTCAACTTCTTGAGCCATTATTTGCTCCCTCCCAGGATGCATTAACATGAAGCTGAATCAGAAACTGGTACCTACATTGTTGTTGTAGTACATCAGGTTAACCCCTACCTGTGACATCACCCTCCTATATCTGAGCATCTGTTCATGTCCAGCTGCTCTGATCCTGATCCAGCTCCCTGCTAATGTGCCTGGGAAAGCAGCAGAAGATGGCTCAAGTACTCCCACATGGGAAACCTGGGTGGCGTTCCAAGCTCCCGGCTTTGGCCTGCCCGGCCTTGGCTGTTGGGGCCATTTGGGGAGTGAATACAGCAGATAGAAGATCTCTCTCATTCTCTCCCTGACACTCTGCCTGTCAAATAAATAAAAATCTTTTATGTATGTGCTCTGTATCTCTGTGTATTGGTGTCTTTGTGGGCACATACATTTGTGCATCTGTGTCTGTGTACCTGTGGGTGTCTGCTGCTGCCTTTTCTGTTTCTCTTTGGGCCTTGGTCCCTGATGCTGGCAGATGGAGGATTCTCTGGGCCTTTGGATGGTTCTCTTCCCTTCCCTGGGCCTCCATTTCCTCACTTGAATGTATGAAGGACTGGAGTGCCATCATTTTGAAGGACCCTTGCATACCTGACTATCCTTAACGTCACCATTTATGATATGGTGGAACGACTTCTTCCCAAGAAGGTCTAAGCAAGAGTCAACACCTTAAAGCTGCAGTGGAGGCCCTGGAGTTAGACTTCAGAAATAAAAAGGCCCCAGGCCAGCCTGCACTGGCTTCAGGAGAGCCGCACAGCTCCTGGTCTGAAGCAAAAGCTGTCAGAATTTGAGGCCAGATCCAAGGGCCCAGATGGCGTCCCCCAGCCCTGTGTTGGCCAGAGTCTCCAGGTGATCTGCAGTAAGGTGAGGGACTCCCAGCCCCGCTCCCTGTGGGGGCACTGGGAAGGCAGAGGACTGGAAGAACAGCCACCCAGGAAGAAAGCCTTGGGCGGGAAGCATCTTCAGGTCCTCTTCTGGCCCCTGCAGTCTCTTGATAAGCAGAAAGTTTTGGGCCCCCCACCCTGATAGCCCCACATCCACTTATCAGGGGCCCCAGACTACCCCACCCAAACCCAGACTGCTGCAGCCCACACCCTGATCACAGTAGCCCCCACCCCCGGCCAGGGGCTGCCTGAGAGCTCTCTCTCTCCTCAACCTGCATGACCCCTAAGTTCTGCCCATGCTCTCCTTTGGAGTGGGCCCCCAGGAACTAGGCAGAAGTCTAGGCAGAAGACATGAAGCTTGGCCTTGGTGAACAAACCCTCATGTCAGTAAAGGGGCTTGAACTGTTGGTGGGGTTTCTGGGTTGAGGTGGACTGGTAGGAAGGTGACAGGATGGAAAAGGGGGCCACAGGGAGGCAGGAGCGGACATCATAATTCCTCACCTGGTTAGAGCGCCTGAGTTTATGACACTTTCTCACTTGATTCTGAGGCTGGCAGCATGTGGCCCAAAGTCACAGAGCTGGGATGGGCACTTGGAGCAGCAGCTAGATGCTGCCTGGGCTCCTGCATCCATGTCAGTGTCTGGGTTTGAGTCCTGGCTCCACACCCAGATCCAGCTTTCCTGCTAGAGCTCACCCTGGGAGGCAGCAGGTGATAGCCAAAGTCCATGGGTTCCTACCGCCAACATGGGAGACCTGGATTGAGTTTCAGGTACCTGGCTTAGGCCTGGCCCAGCCCCAGCTACTGTGGGTATCTGGGGAATGAAACAACAGATGGAAGATCTCTGTCTCTTTCTGCCTTGCAAATAAAACAGAAGTCACAGAACTGAATGTTATAGAGTTGAGACTGTCACTCAGGGCCTGTCACTTCTAAATCTGCCTCTTAGTGGTTCTGAGCTACCTTCAAGGATATTCGATGAGGGGCTGGCATTATGGCATAGAAAGTTAAGCTGCTGCCTGCTCTGCCAACATCCCAAAAAAGCACATGGTCAAATCCTGGCTGCCCCACTTAAGATCCAGCTCTCTGATAATGCACCTGGGAAAACAGTAGACGATGGCCCAAGTGCTTGAATCCTGCCACTCATGGGGGTGGGGGGGACCAAATGAAGCTCCTGGCTCCTGGCTGTGGCCTGTCCCAGCCCTGGTTGTTGTGGCCATCTGGGGAGAGAACCACCAGATGGAAGATCTGTCTTTCCCTCTCTCTGTAACTGCCTTTCAGGTGAATAAGTAATTTTTTTAAAAGGAACATTTCATGAGGGTAGGTATTGTGGTGCAATGGGTTAAAGCTGCCACTTGGAACACCTGCATCCCATATCAGACTGCTGGTTTAAGTCCCAGCTTCTCCATGCTTCTGACTGATCTTGCTAATGTTTCTGGGAGGCAGCAGGTGATAGCCCAAGTACTTGGGTTCCAGATACCCACCTGGAAGACCTGGGTTGAGTTCCTGGTTCTTGGATTTGCCTTGGCCCTGCCCTGGCCCAACCCTGGCTGTTGCAGGCATTTGGGTAGTAAATTGGCAGATGGAAGATCTCTCCCTCTCAGTCACTGTGCTTTTCAAATGAATAAATATGAATAAGTTTTTAAAAGAATATTCCATGGCTTTCAGGTGCAATAATAGGCCTCACCTATGGCATCAGGGTGGAAAAGGGTGAGCATTAACTTAATTGAAGCCCTTCTAGGGAATGGCCCCAGCACTGCTCTCAGTGACTTACCCATAGCTGTTCATGGAGGTCTTACAGCTCTGTGAACTCGGGACTTGATATTTCTACTTACTAATGAGAACAGGGAGGGTCCGTGAGAGAAGTGGTTTGCCTGGGAGAGTCACAGCTTTGTGTGTCTGCCTGCCTGGGCCAAGGTCCCCCCCCACACACACACCATTAGGCTCAGCTTGATGCCAGTCACTCCACAGGAGCATGGGAGAGATGCATTAGTGAATACAAGAGAATCTCAGCGTTATTTGCTTAACGTGAATAATCATTCACTCAACAGGGGAAGACTTTTCTGCACAAACTTGGCAATTTAAAGACAGGAAGGGTTAACTAGCCAAGGAAGGAGGGAAGATGATGTTGAGCAGAGGGTAGCACATATACCCCAGTTCTGTGGCAGAAAGAAACAGAACACCTCCAAAGAAAGGAAGTAAGACGCAGTCTGCACTCCTACTCCCCTCTCGTGTCTGGTCCACCCTTGAAGGAGAGTGACTGCCTCCTGAACACTGGCTGCGTTACCCAGAACAGGAAAGTGGAAGGAGCATTCCCAGAGAGGGAGTCTAAACAGCAGAGCCTTGCTTTGAGGACCAAAGAACTGCACAGCGCCAACTCTCACTGTAAGTACTTGGGGCCCCTACCCTCTTTCTTAGGCTGGCTCCATGAAAGCTGGGGATTCAGCTGACCACAAATCTCCCAGCAGAACACCCCCGATGCTGGAGACTTTGCCAGGGCCTTGGTAGGCAAAGATTCTCCCTGCCTGCCTAGTTCTGGGCTCCTTAGGCAGACAGGGCAACATAGACAGGGTCTGGGAAATTTAGGCTGAGGGCTCCTATGAGTTTGCCCCCACCCCCCGCCCGATTCCAGAGACGCAGCTGCCTGGACCCTCCCCATTCTATATTCAGCTAACATTCTCTGTCACCCACCCACAAAGAAAACACAAAACAAAGGAACAGGAAAAAAAAAAACTCAAAAAACAAATGGAAAAAAACCCAACCAGGCCTCTGACCAGCAATTAAGCTCTAAAGCAGGGGCTGGGACTGTTGTTTATCTTCCTCAGCCCAGCAGACAGATGACCCGCTTCTTGGGGGTGGGAGTGAAAGATGGACCTTAGGTTTAGTAAGGTCTTCAAAAGATTGAATGAGGGACCATGTTGTGGTGCAGTGGGTAAGTTACCACTTGCAACGCCAGCATCTCATATAGGAGCACCGGTTTGTATCCCAGCTGCTCTGCTCCAGCTCCCTGAGAAGCAGCAGATGGCCCAAGAACTTGGGTCCCTGCCTACCCATGTGGGAGACCTGGATGTAGTTCCTGGCTCCTGGTTCAGCCTGGTCCAACTCTGACTCTTGGGGGCACTTGGGGAGTGAGCCAGCCAGTGAAAGATCTGTCATTCTACTTTTCAAATTTGTGAAAATAAGCCTAATGAGGGGCAGGCACTTGGCCTAGCGGTTAAGCCCTCAGAATGCCCACAACCTATACCAGAGTGCCTGGGTTTGATTCTGATCCTGATTCCATCCTTGCTGAGGTATTCTGGGAAGCAGTGGTGATGACTTAAGTACTTGCCTTCCTTGCCACCCAGTGAAAGACTTGAATTGAGTTCCTAGTTCCTGGGCACTTGGGGAGTGTACCGATGAATGGGGAACTGTCTTGAATTAAAGTAATAATAAAGGCCCAAAGAGGAGAAGGATCAGGGGCCCAGCAGGGGAAGGGTTAAGAGGCAGGGCCTTCTACAAGGGGGGAGGGGGAGCCCCACCCAGGGGAGGAGCTGATGGATTAAAAAGCAAGCAGCTTGAGAGCAGAGCTTGGGCTAGGGCTTCCCTGGTATGCAGTGCCAGCTCCAGGTAAGTGCTCCTTCTCTGGGTGTCTGCTTATTGGTCTGACTGGAACCTGCTGCTTCATCATGTTACTCTGGCTTTTTAAACTCTGGCTCTGGGTTCCTAAGAGATCTCAACCTATCCTAGCTTTGCAGGGGCCTCTTTGGGCCAGTCCCCTTACTCTAAACCATTTGGATTGTGCCTGAACAGAGAATCAAGGAGATGCTGGCCCAGGGGGGAGCTGTGGAGCAGGGAAAAGGGTGGGGGTGGGGGGTTCTCTCCGCAGCTCCTGGCTCTCCCTGCCCACAGAACTCTCCATGTCAAGCTTCCTGTGTCCGCGGCAGGACCCTGGCTGGGATATCATCATATACTGTAAGTTTGAGATGAGACACTACAGTATAGATGATGTACTAGTAAGGGCACCCCCAGCTCTGGAACCTGAAGAAGACGCAAGGAAGATGCTGCAAGCCCAGAGGCTCACCACTCAGTCCATCACAGCCTGCCCACTCCCCGTGCACTTGGGAATGGCGAGGAAACCGTTACCATTACTGAGTTTAGTAATGGTAACGGTTCTCTTGCTGTACCCAGAAAATGTGCCAGGAAGAGCACTCAAGATTCTGGAGCAGAATACTGGGAGGGAGGGACACTCCAGCTCCTAAAAAGGAGGTGGGGTAAGGAAGATGGGTTTATTTTCTCTTTCCTGTTCTAAAAAAAATAAAGATGATAACCACAATGCTTATTTTATTTTATTAGCATCTGAGACTGGGGAGTGGAAGGGGTAGGAGGGATCACAGACTTGGGGAGCAGGTGGGAGGTGCTGTTTCACCTTCCATGGCTTCCTGGTGGAAATACGGAGTGGGGAAGAGCGATCTGGGAGAAACTATGGGCAGGGTGGCACGCTCCCATGAAGGGGCCAACTTCTGAGACCAAAGTAGCTGTGGCCCCAGGCAGAGAAGCGACTTGGGATGTGAGCTAAGGTAGGTTCCTTCCTCCAGGAGACTGGCTGGGCAGGGGCTGTGCAGTGCCCATGCCCCTCATCAGTTTTTGTGGGCCCTGAGGCAGGGACAGTGCTGGTCAATGACCTCCGTTAGCAGCTTGAGCTGGGATGCCCTGGGAGAGGCAGCAGGGAGCTCCTCATGTGAGGAGCTTCACAGACAGGCGTATCTGAACGTCACAGAGGAAGATGTTCATGAGGTCACGGCCCACCTCCTGTGCAATCTGGGAGATTACCTGGCCCTTCTGACCAATCAGGATCCTCTGCAGGCAGGTCAAAGAGAGGGACACAGTCTTGTTGGCAGGGTTCCAGGTGGAGGGTGGGGAGGAACCCCCTCCCTAACACAGTCTTGGTCCCTCCCCTGAGCCTGGCTGCACTTACCACATGAGACTCTTTAGGCACCAGAAGTTTCTGTAGAATCACCAGTTCCCCACATGGTCCTTCCTCCCACACCACTGTCTTCTGCACAGGGAGACATCATGACAATCAGCCCATCCCCTTGCCTCTCTGGTACCAAGCTGTGCTGCTCTGGGTGTATGCCTGGCACAGAGGCCCATAGATCCCTTCCCTCTGCCTGCACCTGCTGCACATTGTAGGGCACCTCCTGGGGCAGGTACTCCAGGAGCTTCGCTCGGATGACGTTGGCACAGATCTCTTCAGGTGTCTGGCTAGTGAGGACTCTGCTGTGGAACTCCCAAGGCCCGGGCTGAGCCTTTGCCAGGAGGTACTGCTGTGGGCACAGAGAGAACAGAAGGGTATCTCATCCCAGCCAGGACTTTCCTACTCACAGTTGTTTCCAGGAGAAAATCTGAGGCCTGTCTTCACATGGTGAAAACCAAGAGCCAGGCTACAGCCAAGGCTAACTGACCTTAAGTGTTCTAACATCCTCCTGGCTTAGGGCTGACAACATGAAGATGTCCTGGAAGTGGGGCCAGCCAGTCACCCGAGCGATTCCTGCAGACTGTGTGTTTGAGTCCTTAGCTACTGGGCTGGGATGATGGGAACCGGGCTTTGAGCGAAAGGCTTGCTTCATCTGGATCTTCTTGCCATTTACTACACCTTCAGTGAGGGCTGCTGTGAGCTCCAGGAGAACTGACTTCTGCTTCAGGCAATCGACCTGGGCATGGGGATGAGCAAAGGGTGGAAGGTCAGCAAGAGAGGTGTCTTGGAGGGAGCCAGACCCCTCCCTCAGGTGGGCAGTGCCTACCTTGTTCATGACAAGGATGCTGGGGACCTGGGCAAACTGGGTCAAGCACTGGACTATCTGGGGGCTGAGCTGGTTCCGAGTCCACTTGTCTGAGACATCCACAAGAACTACCACTAGAAGATGGCATGGTAGGCAGAAGGACAAGGATGTGAACACTCTTCCTCTTGCTACCACAAAAACTCATGGTTTAGTCTCTGGCCATCCCCCTTCCCCAAACTACCAGGAATAAAAAGCCGTTAAAGTGGGCTTCATAATCCCATCCTAAGCCTAACCAAGATCAGCAGATTCCATGCTCTTCCATGGATCTTCCAACAAAGAGGGCTCCAGTTGGTGCCTATGGAACAGACATAAAGCAGTAAAGAATCTATTAGCCGATGCACTGCTAATGAGGGATGGGATGGGATGGGACATAATGAGGAGGTTTTCCAGCCCCTATGATGGACTCTCCCCACCCCCTCTTCAATCCCTTCCCCTCTACCACCTCTTCCCACAGCCACTACCTCTTCTGTTTTACAGGACTGATGATGCCAGGTGTGTCAAGTAGAATCTAAACAGAAAAAACAGATACTCAGAGCCAGGAGAAAAGATTAGACTAAGGTGTAGGGGAGAGAAGCCACCCTTGATGTCAGAAGCCGCCTTCCCTTCTGGGCCAAGCTGTTACTGGCTTTAAATATTCACCTTTCAGCTTTGTTTTAATCCCAGAGGGGACATAGGAGGAAGAAGCTGACTGTGACTACATGGGAGGTTAGAAAGCAGTAAAGAGGAATGAGACCTTATGGACTAGATGCCAAAGAGGGACAGACAGAGACACAACTGCAGAGGCCTAAAGGAAGAGACCCCCCCTTCCCTCAGGTAAGTGAATCTAAGCAACATTTCCTTCAAGCCTAGTGGTAAGGGAGACCCTCTTAGAATTACCCTCCATCCTGTTTCCAGAACTTCCTTTGTAGGTACCTACCACCTGGGTCTCCTTCTCTGTAATGACCCCCAGAGCTTGACATCGAGTGGTGTGCACCTTCTTGGAGACAGGGAACACCTGTCAGGAACAAACAAGTCCCAGTGAGATTCTAGATTCCCATTAGGACCATACATGAAGGAAATTACAGACAAAAAGGGGGATGTGTGTCAAGGGTGCAGCATACTTTTCGGCCCAGCAGCTGGTTGGAGAGTGTTGACTTCCCTGCATTTGGGGCTCCAAGGATGACTACTCGTAGGACCCGGGGATTCTCAGGCATGTCAGGGGGATGGACCAAGAGGAGATCTTGCTCACCTGTGTGTGGGTAAGGAGAGGAGAGAGACACAGTGGAATCTGGATTCCTGTCAGGTGCTCAGTCCTGCCCACTCACAAAGGAAGCAGGGATGCAAGATAGTGCACCAAGCTGAAGCTACTTAGACCTAAAACTGAGACTTAGGTTAGCCCTTAATTTGCTTATGGGACTATACAACGTTTTCTAACCTCTCCAAGACCCTTAGTTTTCTCATATGTAAAGTGGAGTTGATATTAACAGTACCAATTTAACTATAACTTCCCTTTACAATTGGCAATTATGTAAAACCATTCAGCACAACTAGCGCTTAGCATACTCAATTACTGCAGGTAATTATACTATGCAGCTGTGCCTGGGAAAGGTATGTGCATGTATAAAAGTACAGACTGACTAGATAAAATCAGAAATTCCAGCCGGCGCCGCGGCTCACTAGGCTAATCCTCCACCTAGCGGTGCCGGATTCTGTCCCGGTTGCCCCTCTTCCAGGCCAGCTCTCTGCTCTGGCCTGGGAAGGCAGTGGAGGATGGTCCAAGTGCTTGGGCCCTGCACCCCATGGGAGACCAGGAGAAGCACCTGGCTCCTGGCTTCGGATCAGCGCGGTGCACCGGCCGCAGTGCGCCAGCCGTGGCGGCTATTGGAGGGGTGAACCAACGGCAAAGGAAGACCTTTCTCTCTGTCTCTCTCTCTCACTATCCACTCTGTCAAAAAAAAAAAAAAAAATCAGAAATTCCTCCAGCTCTGACCATCTCGCCTTGCTAAGAGTGTCTGAAGGCTCTACAAACTTCCTCAGTCTATCTGTATTAGCTTCTTTTTTTTTTTTTTTTTTTTTTTTTTTGACAGGCAGAGTGGACAGTGAGAGAGAGACAGAGAGAGAAAGGTCTTCCTTTGCCGTTGGTTCACCCTCCAATGGCCGCCGCTGCAGCCGGCGCACCGCGCTGATCCGATGGCAGGAGCCAGGAGCCAGGTGCTTTTCCTGGTCTCCCATGGGGTGCAGGGCCCAAGCACCTGGGCCATCCTCCACTGCACTCCCTGGCCACAGCAGAGAGCTGGCCTGGAAGAGGGGCAACCGGGACAGAATCCGGCGCCCCAACCGGGACTAGAACCCGGTGTGCCGGCGCCGCAAGGCGGAGGATTAGCCTAGTGAGCCACGGCACCGGCCCTGTCTGTATTAGCTTCTTGACACTGCATTGCACTTGCCGATTTAGGTCTCCAGACTCCCCACCAGACTCCAGTCTCTGCTAACTGAAGAATAAAGCGCGCTATTTCCCAAGTGTAACTCAATGTCTTGACAAGTCGGTAGGACTTAGCGTGCATATATTGGATTGTTTTCCGCGTGTGTCTGTGGCTCTTCAATCTCACACTCTTTGCATTTCTGATCATGACCAGGTCGGTTCCCTCTCCCTTCCAAACTGTTAGAATATAGTATCTTCAGGGCCGGCGCCGTGGCTCACTTGGTTAATCCTCCGCCCGATGCGCTGGTATCCCACGTGGGCACCGGGTTCTAGTCCTGGTTGCTCCTCTTCCAGTCCATCTCTCTGCTGTGGCCCGGGAAGGCAGCGAAGGATGGCGCAAGTACTTGGGCCCTACTCCCGAATGGGAGACCAGGAGGAAGCACCGGGCTCCTGTCGGCGCAGCGCCGGCGGTAGCGGCCATTTGGGGGGTGAACCAATGGAAGGAAGACCTTTCTCTCTATTTGTCTCTATATATATATGTATGTATATAGTATTTCTCTGCTAGGAGATCCCTGGGAGCTCTCAGGGTGTCAAAATAGCTATCTTTAAAATAGGATCAAAGGCTGGCACCGCGGGTTCTATCCCGGTTAGGGCGCCGGGTCTGTCCCGGTTGCTCCTCTTCCAGTCCAGCTCTCTGCTGTGGCCCGGGAAGGCAGTGAAGGATGGCCCAAGTGCTTGGGCCCTGCACCCGCATGCGAGACCAGGAGGAAGCACCTGGCTCCTGGCTTCGGATCGGCACAGCGCGCCGGCTGTAGCGGCCATTTGGGGGGGGGGGGTGTGAACCAACGGAAAGGAAGACCTTTCTCTGTCTCTCTCTCTAACTGACAAGAAAAAAAAAAAAAAGGATAAAAGACTATATCCCCTGATACAGAACTTTCAGTACTAAAACCGTGTCAGTCCCGGGAACACCTATCTGGACCCTTTACCTCTGTGCATGGAAACGGCGGGTACGAAAGGAGTCAGCGAACTGTCAGGCTGAGGGAATCCGAGTAAGTGGTCCAGAGCTGAGACCTGGCCATAACGGCGAGAGTCCGG